TTTTGCGCAAAAATGGTGGATGCGCCCGTAACAAAACGGTTCGTTTCAAAAATTTCCGTCATAAAACTGCAATTTATCTTTTAGAGTACCGGCGACGTCAAAACCGTAACACCTCGAAACGGTAACACCTTAAGATCGTAACGTTTTAAGTCTTCCCCGACGACAAAATATCGATTTATTTCAAACCTTCTTGCAAAGTCCCAGTCATTATGGATATTGAGGCCTTGTGCTTAATACATTATATTTAAAGTTGCTCCTTGTTCGTTTCGGAGGGTAAGAAAATTAGCTGAACGACTTCCGCGTTTTAATTTCCTGGGTGTCCGGGGGAGTTTCGAAAGTTTGGTGTTATTAAGGAAAGAACAAGATTTGCAACTTGACGATGAGTTAAAATTCCCACCGAGTTAAAATTTATTTATAAAAAGAGACTTTGGATATTAAATCGGGTTATGTTAAAATAAACTCATTTTAAATTGGGAATGTAATTCCTATATTGTGATTTTATCGTTAATAATTATTATTCTCCAAAATGAATAATTGTGGCATTATTTATAATAAATTGTATTATTATAGGATTATCCATTAAAATCTATTATTCTTGTTGTTTGGATTAATTGAAAATAATTCTAAATAAACTACATTATCAATAGCCATTCTTGATATAGCTTCGTTATTAGATTAATTTTAACTCGGAAGTTCTCAAGCACGGCTTTAAGAGGTTCGCACTTGAGGAGATAAGCACTCGATGTAAAAGGAAAAGAGCTGCTTTATAGGTGGTGTTGGTTTCAAGTGGCTAAACGGTCAATAGATTATGAAACTGTAATCTTTTTTCTGTCAAAATTTGAAACATGTAATTACAACTACACGAACACGCTTCTTATTAATTGAAAAAACGTTGTTCTTCACGCCGCCCCCACCCTTGGGCGAATTTATCGCACCCTCAGCGAAGGGGTTAAGCTCGCGATTTATGGCAATGGCGCCAAGGGGGGAAATGGGGGGCCTTGTTTTGTGTAATAAATCCCTGTCGGTTAATTTTTCATTAAACACGTACATCTCAACAAAGAAAACTGGAACGTGACAGGCAAAAATGGAACACGCAATAAAAGCTTCTCTGTCGGTGCCATGTTTAATATTTTCAGTGCGGCCCCCCTATTTTTTGACATGACAAACGTTCTACCGTTTCATTATTGTTGATGATGTTTGTTATTAGAGAAATCTCATTCTTATTTCTTTCAGGTTGAATCAACATTTAGTTGAGATTTAATTTTGATTAATATTTGATAGAGATGCCGCGAATAGTTGTTATATTATTATTCGACTTAAAAAAAGGAATATAAAAAGTAATTTATTTGGTATCAAATAATAATATCACACTTGTAGTAGTCTTGAATTTACTTAATTAAGGTTATGAGAAAAGAATACAATGAAGTTAAAGAAATCAGTCTCATATTATTCTGATTTTACATTTTTAAATGCTTGCAATCTTTTTCTTGTACCTATTTTACGGGGAATACCTCGTTTTGTATAACCCAACCCAACCCAACCTTTTTAAATCAGAAATAAATTGACGAACCCTTTGTGTAGTTATTACTTACAGTTAAGAAAAACTAAAATCATACAAGACAATTGATACAACACTCTTAATTCATAACAAAAAATAAAAACATAATCGTAAAAAATCTAAACAAAAACTTTACATTAATTAAGACTAAAATAATAGATACAAGAAAATCAAAACACAACACTCTTAGTGAGATACTTGCGCCTGTTTGCTAGAACACAGAAATTCAATGTTAAGCTGACAGTTTCAGTCTTAAATCATTTTTTGCATTTAATCTGATTCTGTATTCATTTTTCAAATAAGTATACGTGGAAAATCCTTTCTCACATAGATATGTTGTGCAAAAAGGTAATCAAACTTCGATAGTCTTTAAAAACCGCTTCTAAGGAGCAATCATAGGATAACTCAATAAGTTTTTCTTTTTGCCATAAAGTTAGAGAGATCTTCAAATTTAGATATTTTTGTAGTCCTACATATCCAATTATTCTGAATTTTCGGATAAAAAGCTGCTGAGAGAACTAAAATATTCGTACTCACTCATCTGCAGACATTGGATCTAAAAGTTGAACTTTTTTAGCAAGGATTCAATTCTATCATGCACACCGAAGATGGTGACACCTGTGATAAATTTAATTCACAAAATATATCAGCTAAATATGCAAGCTTTTGCAGTCAAAGAATTTCAGATAGACAAGAAGATAAATGAAATGGATGGTCAATAAGAAATGCTTGACTTCAAATTTTAACTCAAACTGGGGTGTCAAAACTTTGCCACGGGAAAGCTATCTAACTTCCTTGTGAAGTAATAAAGAAACGTGATGGCTTCCAAAGTCTTCACAACTCGCATGAAATAGACGGGAATTAGTAGATCGCGATTTTATAAAGTTTACAATTTTTACAGCATCACTTAAAGTAGTAGACATGCCAATGCTTGTCTCTATATACTGACTTGAATATGTCAAGTCTTGAAGTCTTGTTTCGTTGCTCTTCTTTACCCGTGCCACAAAACCAGAAAATTTTCCTGTCATTGATTTTGCACCATTTGTGCACACACATACACAATAAGACCAGTTTATTCCATTTTTTTTCAAAATAGTTATTAACCATATCAAATATTGCTTCTCCAGTTGTATAAGTTTTTAAAGGTTTTGCAAAAAGTACATCTTCCTGAATGGAATTCTCAAAAGTGTATCTAACATGCACAAGCAATATTGCAGCGGTTGCTATATCGGTCGACTCGTCAATCTGGATAGCCAGGATTCTTCACATTACTTGCCACATCATAAATTCTACGCGATATTGTATTATTTGATAAAGAAACTAGGTCAAATTTTTTTGATGCCTTTTCTCCAAGCGTACACTTTACAATATCTTTTCGCATGGTCCAATTAAATTTTCTGCAATTGTATGTGCCTGTCCAGATTTTGCAATTCAATAGCTTACTCGAAATGATGCCTCAAGCGCCATTTTACTATGTTCCTTTAAAGCTGACAGAAAAGAAAATACACTACTCTTTCTATAATCAGCCAATTGTCTTCTAAAATACTCGATAGGTTTATCCTTGTATGTCAGATTTTGATTTCAAGGTGTCAACGAAGAAGTGTTGGTTTTAAGCTGTTGTTAGCAAGCACTTCATTACAAATTACACAAAGCGGCTGAGGTTCTGATTCTTCCCTTAGAGATGTCATTAGTTTCATATTAAAGGTATTACAGTTAATAATTTTTCTGGTAACAATGGACATTCAATAAATTGCTGTTTTTATATCTATACAACTTTATAATATATATCTTATAAATAGTTTTAAATTTTTTAGTTCTATTATTTTGTCAATTTTTACTTTACCACTACTTCTATAAAATTCCGCCATTATAATATTATTAAGATTGCCGCAATACACTATTCTTGACAGAACGTACTTTACCGAGAAAATCATTCCAGACATGTATGAGAGAGTGGTTAGCAAGCTAACTATCTTTGGACTTGTCCAGTAAATAATACCGCATTTCTGAGTTGCACAGGACGCTGGATATCAGAAAACTTTAAATTGAATCATGTCGTTCTAAACATGGTACATTTTCCTGCATCACACACATCAGAAAATATCAAAAGAGAACTATTAGAATGTGTAACGAAATGGGGTTGTTCATGATAATGGCGGGAATACGGTTAAAGGAGTCGGGGAAACTCTACTTCCTGCAAAGTGTTGCTTCATACATACTCTCCAGCTGGTGATAAATGATGCATTAAGGAACAGTCCCCAATAACAGAAATTCTGACTAGTGCCAGTCGAATTTAACACATTTCAATCACTCGGGATATACAAAATTTGATAGTATTCAATCTGAACTGGTACTGCCTAAACATAAAGTAATTCGAAATATTTAAATTCGCTGGATCTCAACATATTACCTACTGGAGAGTCTAGTTAAACAAAAAGGAGCAATTGCAGTGTATATCTCAGAATCAAGGTGCGTGAAATTTGTTATTGTTTAAGGTTATAACAAAATGCTCTGTAACATTTTTGCTCCCAGATGCATCAATATAGAGAATTTTTCAAAAATATGAAAATTAGAAGAGTGTTAAAAAAATTTGGAATACGAAGCATGATACAGAAAAACTTTTACAACAAAAGTTGTAGCAAATTGTCCCCTTAACACAATGGTCTGAAACATTTTTGCTCCCAGATGCATCAATGCAAAGAATTTTTCAAAAATATGAAAATTAGAAGAGTGTTAAAAAAATCGGTATCCGGAGCATGATACAGAAAAACTTTTAAACAAAAGTTGTAGCAAATTGTACCCTTAACACAATGGTCTGAAACATTTTTGCTCCCAGATACATCAATATAGACAGTTTTTCAAAAATATGAAAATTAGAAGAGTGTTATTGAACAACTCTTAAAGCTCTTCAAACTTTTCGAAGAGATAACAAAAATAGCAAGTTCCACATATGCACCTATATCAGATGTAATACCTAGAACAGTTTCATTAACCTGATCCACATTGATAGCCAGATATACCAGATATACACAAACTATTTTGGGCATGTTTTGAAGAATCTATGACAGAGCACCTTTCTGAAGAGCAACCCAAGAATCCCTCTGGTAACGAAATCGCTCAATGCATCGCGTTAGCAAAGGCTGACAGTAGTATAAACCCATACGAATGGTGGGCTTTGAGTACCAATAAGAATGGATTCCCCATTTTAAATAAGCTTGCTAAACGTCATTCAGTCAATTCAGAAAGGCAGGTTTGATTTATGAAGAAAAGCGCAACCGACTTAATCCCAATCGTGCAGAAATAGCTCTTTTGGACTTTTGGTCTATAGTTTTTTTGTTCATTAATATCAAGTATTCGCGGCATCTCTAATATTTAATCTAGATTAAGATAAAATTTTATTGCTTTTTGTAGAGAAACGAGCGGAGTGTCATATTTCCTGTAGGTCTGTGCTTGTTCATTCCAGCTCTCTGCTTCCAAGATGCGTTCCACATCACGGCAATCCTGGGCGAATCGGTCGTTTTCAACTGCCACGTGGAGTTTCCCGAAGGTCAGCCTGTGCCATACGTATTGCAATGGGAGAAGAAGGTAGGCGACACGGTACGATTTCAGCACTGCTCTCTTTCTAACAGTACAGTTAGCATCAATATGGGATTTAAGTGGTTTGGGGACGCTTGATCCATGATTGAACTCCACTTAGGAAGGAAATCGATGGATTAGCGATTTTTATCTTATAAAAATTTTATGTATTTGCAAAGGAATGCAATTTTTTGTTATATTATTGCGTGATGGTTAACAGTTTTAGATAGCGACAAATTTAGAATAATTATGATGGATCTAAATTTGTAGTTATAAAATTTTTTTTTATTACAAATCCGGATTGAAACACGCATAAAGAACACAAATTATAAAACTTAAAGGGATTTGAGAGAGCAGATTTATAATTTCTATAGAGACAATCTCGCGTAATAATCGTGCACTCATTGTAAAATTGTTTAACACACCAATCATCGTGGCGATTAACGACCCATTATATCGCCGATTTTACGTTTTCTCTCAAATTGCTTCCATTCCTAACTACCTCTTGATCCTTCTCGTAATGGCCCATCCATAAAACCCTCTATTCTTCTATAAACCACACGCATAAGCTGGAGCTTTAAGCTCTTCATCGCATCTTTTATTTTTGTTCGCCTAATCGCTGCATTTTAAATATAAAAGTTTCGAATCTCGCAGCCGCATGCATATAGATGTGCCGGGAGCATTTTGCGTCATAAAATAGGCAGTCTGCACGAGTCGCATGTTAAGAGGCCGTAGCGAATCGAGCAACGGCCCACTCCGCAACGTGGCGGGTAATAATATGTCCGCAAGCTCGTTAAAAGTTGATGCAGCACAAATAAAACAACCCTGCGATGAGATTATGTGGGTTAATGCGTTCTGCGTAATATCTACTTTGCGTGGTTATAAATTTTTTTTTGTATCAAAAGTTACCATTTCGAAGGGCATATTATTATTACTTGTCACGAATCTTCTTCAAGCATTCTACAGTTGGAATGTTCAAGGGACAGGATATACCAATCTACATCTGGTACGAGAGTTATCCCACACACAGCGGAGAGGGATATGAAGGAAGGGTATCGAGAGTATCACCAGATTCCAATTATGGAGCTGCTTCACTTAACTTGACCAATATTCAAGTATCCGATCAAGGATGGTTAGTATATATAAGAATTTTTATTATTAACTAAAAGTTAACAATTTCTCCTCGTCCCAACTACCTCCCTCATCCATCCCCAGTCTTCTCCCCCCTCTTCCAGAATCTGCCTTCAATTCCTTTTGCTCTTCTCTCAGCTCGCTACATCCTTTCAACATATGTTCTAGCATTTCCCAATCCGCTCCATCTTTCCACATCGTCTACCCAGTATCTGCTCGCTCTCTCCTCATTGCCACAACGGTATCTGGCCACCAGCCTCTTTCTTTCCTCACTCTCTTCCTTCATCTAGCACTTTAGAAGCCCCTCCGTTATTATGCCCCCTCTCTTATTGTATCTTCCCTCTCTTATCTGCATCCTTCTTTACCCAACCCAAGCCATATCGCTTACCCCCCCCCACATCTTCACCCCTTCCCTTCTTCTGTTATTTATCTCTGCTTCCGAATAATCCATCCTTTTGTAATATTCCCTTTATCATACCTAATCTTCCCTTCCCTAACTTCCTTCCAACACTCTCCCAGGATCCCGCAGTATGTATATATCTATCATTTCTTCATATTTAATTGCTCTTATGCCCGCCTCCACCTGCATTTCCTCCCTCACAATATACCCCGGCACTTTCCTCCCCAATACCGATTCTGTACCATCCTTGTTTTCTCCATCCCCAAACTTCCTTGAGTCTTTCTCTTTCTGATGTTTCTTCCAAACACTCTCTCCCCATCTTCAGACCTGCCCCATCACCTTATTTGGATTAAGGATGATTAGTATGTTTTTATAAATTTTTTATTTGAAAAACTTCTTCATGAGATGAAAAGAGGAATTTAAGAGGAAGGGAGTTCATATCAAAACCGTAAGAAACCCAAAGAAGAATCACGAGTGTACAGATGGATTGGTAGACAACTCAATCAGATGACAGTAAATCTCACTAAGACCTTGGGGGTCAGTTCTGAAGTTGACAGTGTTGGACAAGGCCGAAATGTGGAACATCTCAAGGAAGAGTCTCCTGCTGTACAGGGTGGTTCAAATTCGATGTCCGAATAGGCTAACTCGGAAACTATAAGAGTTAGAAAAAAAGTAGCTTACATGTCATGATCTCGTTTTTCGAGAAACTGCTAATGCCGAAAACCTCATAGCGCTATCGTCTTTTGTTTTTCCCCTAGAGGCCAAAATTGAAAATATCGTAAAACCAATAAGTGCAATTATCTTGGTTATTATTATAGGTGGAGTATTATAACTACGACATTATATGGACACTTTTTTACAGAGAATTTCATGACATAGTCAAAAAAAATTTTTCGGTTTTAGATTTTGAGATATCATGAGAATTTTCGTTTTTTTAAATGGAAACAACCACTGATTATTCGCTTATTAAATTCGTTATTTTTTTCTGATTACAAAAATATAGGGTTCGACAGGTCTATTTCTTATTGTTTTAGAATAAAGCTAAAAATAAACTTTTTTTATAAAATTTCCATCTAGTGTCGTCGAGGAAATTAAATTTACAGTTTCCTGTAAGTTACGGGGCGGTAGGTAAAATCTAAAAAGTTAACAATTAAATACGAAGATAACTTCTGGTATTTAAAAACAAATAATTTTTTAATATGTAACATTCTAACATGTCAAACTTTTCAAAATTTTCGTAATTGATCTTAAAAACAGGATTTTTAAAGTGACACTTCAGAAAATTTTTGAATACAAACAAATGTTGCTATGTTTATTTGAATTAAAAAAAAAACATATGAGCGCCATCTATCGATAATTTATTAAGTCATTTAAAAATAATATTAAATCGTAATAAAATATGGGAAATAATGCAATCTATTCCAACTTTTGTGTAAAACATATATAAATTAAACAGTTCAACAAATATATTTGTTTCAAATATCAGAAATATGTTTTTTTAATTTTTAGTTATAGAACCGTAATTTACAGGAAACTGTAAATTTAATTTCTTCGACGACACTAATAGAAAAGTTTATTTTTAGTTTTATTCTAAAACAATAAGAAATAGACCTCTCAAACCCTATATTTTTGTAATCAGAAAAAAATTACGAATTTATTAAGCGAATAATCAGTGGTTGTTTCCATTTAAAAAAACGAAAATTGTGATAATATCTCAAAATCTAAAACCGACAAAATTTTTTTGACTACGTCATCAAATTCTCTGTAAAAAAGTGTCCAGATAATGTCTTAGTTATAATACTCCACCTATAATTATAACCAAGATAATTACATTTGCGGGTTTTACAATATTTTCAATTTTGGCCTCTAGCGGAAAAACAAAAGACGATAGCGCTATGAGGTTTTCGGCATTAGCAGTTTCTCGAAAAACGAGATCATGACACGTCAGCTATTTTTCTTCTAACTCTTATAGTTTTCGAGTTAGCCTATTCGGACATCGAATTTGAACCACCCTGTACAGAGAATACTCGTCTGATCAAAGTCGAACTTATGGCCAGTGGATATATGATGTTGAACAAGTGCAGTACCACCAGATTTTTTTGTGGCACAGTCTCTGGTGTGTTGGGACACCCTCGATTTAAGATATTGGGACGTAGTGCCCACGTAGCACATCTCACAACCCTTACAATCGATCCTGTAGACCAAGTTCTCAATCCAACTGTGACGCGGGACTCTGACTGAGGTTGTTACGGGATGGGCCATCCGGAGAATGGAGGACTCTATTAACTAAAGAACGAAGAAAACCGTTGTTGCAGAAGATATCCGATAGGAGTTTAAGGTTATGATCTCTAAACTCATGGTCTGAAATTCTTCATACCTTTAAGAGGGTTAATTTTTATTTGGATTGGGTGGCAAGAAAAGAAATTAATGAAACGACCAGAATAGGTGGGCTTTCTATACCAATCAAGGACAACACGTTGGTCATTCTTTCTGATGACAAGTGAATCCAAAAAGGGAAACACTATTGTTAGATTTGGTCTCATCTGAGACTCCTTGATTTTCTCCCAATCTTTTGGGGTAAATTTCTCTTTTCATCTCATGATATTTTATATTTCAGTTTTTCAAATAAAAATTTTTATCTACAACTATTGAATTATCTTATGACATGCATTACCCATGACTGACAAAGTGTTGAATAATGAAGCCATTATTCCACAGTTCTGACACGGCTTACTAATAAAAAAATAAAATATTAACAGAAATGACAGCTTTCTTATATTGAGGTTATGTCTGAAATGTGTATCAAGTTTATTTTTTTCGTTTTTTTGATTTTTTTTCAAAATTAAATAGTTGTAGATAAAGTATAGTATTCAACTTGCGTATAATGGATGTTACCCACTCAGATTACAACACTCGCTCGCTTCATCTTCGTGGGTAACAGCCGCTATTATACGCTTGTTGAATAATATACTATTTATCTACGACTGCTTGGATAAGTCATCATTACCGCACTCATTTGAGTTACGTAATGAAGTTCATTACCGCACTGGTTTCATTACGTAACGTATTTTTAGCCTAATCAGAACAGACTTAATTTATTGAAAAAGTACTCTCTACTTACAGAGAAACAATACTATTTATTATAAACATTAATTGTTATGTTTTTACATTTCTAAACACTTATTCCAGATGAGTAAACATGTTGTTGAAACTGACAATTCAAAATTGTCAACAATCATTTCAAAATATTTTTATAAATGTCAAATAGACTTTTTTAAAGAAATTGATTTTTTAGTAATTTTTAGCAGTCGTAGATAAAATGCTGTACATCACACGTGGGCTAGAGCATAATTACAGTACTCGTGTGATCACACTCGTACAGTAAGTATGTTTCTAGCCCACTTGTAATATAAATAACTAATAAAAACAAATTTAGATTAACCCAATCTCACATCATTTTTGTTCAAAGATGATTAGTATATTTTATGTTAAATAAACATAAAAACATTGTTTATCTCTAACCACGACTTAACTCATAAAACAAGATTTCACGTAGTATGGACACGATTTAAACATAATTCCGGTTGAGCCGAATTAGAAAGCAGCCGGGATGGGTTTAATTGAGCTGCAATCTCGCTCCACACTGTGCCCCATTTTCCAGGTCGAGTGTTTAGTAATTTACTGCACAAAACGAAACGAATTTGCGGTAACAGCGCGCATCAACAGCGTGTAAATATATTTAACTTTCACCCTAAAACGAAATTCACGAAGTTCACAATTACAAAAACAAAATCTATTAACGTTTCTTTTATAGGTACGAATGTAAAGTGGTGTTTCTCAATCGATTTCCAAGTGCACAAAAGAACGGAACATGGTTTCATCTGGACGTGCACGCCCCACCACGATGGGTTGTCATTCCAGAGGATATAATCTACGTGAATTTAGGCGACGCGATCATCCTCAATTGCCAAGCGGAAGGAACTCCAACCCCCGAAATCCTTTGGTACAAGGACGCGAATCCGATCGAAACAAACTCAGCGAACTCGAACGGAAATTCAATCCCCACAGGTGTAGGTAAGCGGTTATTGATTAACCCAAAAAACCGTGTCTCCAATTTCTTTCTTTACTCACAAAAGGGATTTTCAACGACGGAACCGAACTGCGTTTTTCGAATATACGCAGCGAAGATATCGGCGATTATACTTGTATAGCGAGAAATGGCGAAGGGCAAATATCACATACAGCTCGAGTTATAATAGCAGGTGGTGCTGTTATAATGGTACCACCGACCAATCAAACCAAGTTAGAAGGCGAAAAAGTTCAGTTTAATTGTGAGGCGAAAGCTTTACCTGGAAATGTGACCGTTAAGTGGTTTCGCGAAGGTGCTCCAGTTAAAGAAGTCGCTTCTTTAGAAACTAGAGTAACTATCCGAAGGGATGGGTCTCTTGTGGTCAACCCAGTAAGCGCCGACGATTCGGGACAATATCTTTGCGAAGTCAGCAATGGGATCGGTGAACCTCAATCTGCATCGGCTTACCTTAACGTAGAATGTAAGTTAAAATTAAATTAAAAAAAGAAAGGATCATTATTTAAAAAAATTACAGATCCAGCGAAAGTAACATTCACACCAACAGTGCAATATTTACCATTTCGTTTAGCTGGAGTTGTCCAGTGTTACATCAAAGCAAACCCACCCCTACAATATGTCACGTGGACCAAAGACAAAAGGCTTCTCGAACCGTATCAAACCAACGATATCGTCATTATGAATAACGGCTCACTTCTTTTTACTCGTGTTAACCAAAGCCATCAAGGAAGATATACTTGTACTCCGTATAATGCACAAGGAACTCAAGGTTCCTCCGGGCCTATGGAAGTTTTGGTAAGAAAACCACCCGTTTTTACCATCGAACCTGAACCAATGTACCAACGAAAAGTGGGCGAAACCGTCGAAATGCCTTGTGATGCCCAAGAAGCCGAAGGAACTCAAAGACCAACGATGCAATGGCAAAGAAGAGATAACGCACCCTTACCGAAAAATCGAGTAAGAGTGAATGGTGGAAATATCACGATTGATAGCTTAAGAAGGAGTGATTTTGGCTTCTATCAATGTGTAGCGTCCAACGAAGTAGCAACCATCGTCGCTACCACTCAATTAGTAGTCGAAGGAACCCAACCCCACGCTCCGTATAATCTTACAGGGACCGCTACTGAATTTGCAGTCACCTTGAGTTGGCTACCCGGTTACAGCGGAGGTCCTGATTACAAACAAGATTATTCAATCGGATATCGAGAAGCCGGCGTCTCCGAATGGTCTACCATTCCGGTAACACCATCGGGAAGTACACAAGTTACCATCAATCGTTTAGCTCCAGGGACAACGTACGAGTTTCAAATTGTCGGTAAAAACGCTCTTGGAGCCGGCATGATGAGTAAAATAATAACGATAAGGACTTTGGGTAAGTTTGCTTGGCGGCAAGCACTACTAACTTTAAACTAACAAGACTCCAACCCCCGATTGCTTACTCTATCGGACGGTACAGACGTCGGGCTACCGCCCAAACCTGCTGCGACGCAGAAGCCTTTCTTACCACCTCCTGATGAACCAACCGGTAAGGAATAAAGATTCAAGCGTCATTTTCAAATCAAATTCCCATCACGTTTTATTTTTTAACCCACTTTTTGTAGCTTCATTTTCTTTACTATCACATCGATTTGGTAATTTGCGAAACGCAAGCCTGAAAGAACAAAATCGACGTTGTCATACTCGAAGCGTGCTTTTTAGAAGTGTCTCAAATTTAGGTCATCACTATTACTTTTTATTATTTTTTTTTGTTATATTTTCAGATATTTTCGATTATAGTATCGTGTCCTTCCCCACAGACTCCTCCGGCGAGCTACTATTGCCGCCTATCCTGCGGCCTAAAGGTATATTTTTCAAAAGGGCGTTCCCTCAGGCTCCAAAAACCCGACCCCTCATTACTACAACCCCCTCGTTAATTAAGACCAACGCTGCTCGCTCCCGTTATGTCGCCTTCTTATGATGTCTTTTTTCTTTTGGGAAACACTACAGGTCCGAAACCGGGACCGCCGAGGAACCTGACAGTTACGGAAATTAACAACGGGTTTTTAATTAGTTGGGAGCCGCCGCTTGAGCGGGCCAAACTGGTTCAATACTACAATATTAAGTATAGAACAGACGGTCCTTGGAAAGCTTTAAATAAAGCCCAAATTAGACCGGATGACTACACCTACCTTGGTAAGTTCTAATTAAATTTATTTAATTAATTCATTTCTTATCATCGTTTGTGATGTAGTGAAAAATTTGGTTGGTGGTCGAACATACTACTTCAGAGTTCTCGCATATGCTTCGAAGAACTTTGAGGCTAGTGATGAAGTAAAATATCCAGTACCAGCAAGAGTAAAACATAAGGCAATTACGGCAGGAGTCGTCGGAGGGATTCTCTTTTTTATAGTTGCCATCATTCTTTCCGTATGCGCCGTCAAGATTTGTAATAAACGAAAACGAAGAAAACAAGAAAAAGGTAATTATCTTAAAAATTTATCAGCTAATTGCGCTATACAACGCGGCAATAGCATTCATATTACATTCACATAACACAAAAAAAAAGCATCAAAAACACTCATTTTCACAAAAAAAAAACGTTTCAAATCATTAAAACAGAATAAAAAGAAATAAACACTAGTCCGCTTGCAAATCAAATTCTCTTTATTCTTTTACCATCTAAAATAAATGATTTTAAAACTAACATAAGTGGTTTGTTTAAGTTTTACGCAGCGTGACTAATTGTAAGTGTCCATCCCTGTTTAAAAACCAAACACAATACTTAATAACCCATCCCGTTTTTTTCAATTTTCTTTAACGATCTTGCCCCCCGCTTTTCTAGCTTACAACATGGTGGCGTGTCGAATAACGGATTCTAGGAATGGGGGGAACGCGTCGGAAAGTCAAGTGCCTTTGAAAAAGTGAGTACCCTCTAAATGCGCCCCCGTAACAAGCTGAACGTTCCCAACGGCGATACGTAGACATTTACTTCAACATCTGGCTTTCCCTCAATATTATTATTCGTTATAAACGGGTCGACACGATTCATAATTCTAGATTTCAAAGAAATATTTTATTTTGTATAAATGGGGGAAAAAATACTTGGAATGAAATGAATCGTGTCGAAACGTACCAACTAACCAAAAATTTGACGCGATTCTTCAAAAACATACCAATGATGATGATTCTTATAGGACGGTTGAGTCTGAGTCGTATCGAGATTACGAGAGTGTGTTTATTATTCCCGGGACAAGCGTAGACACGAACCGTAAGAGTACATGCGAGGCGATTCCACTATAGATTGCGATCAACAGAGTGGCCGATTGAAGTTTCAAATTATAGTGAGAATGCGTCAGTATCTTAATGGGATCGCATACGATAGTGGAATCACACTTAGTTCTTGTAGAGTCCAAAAATATGATCTTTAAATAATTAAAAATATTTTCTTTGGTATACGTAGATTGATATTATTGGACTTAAGTGTGCTTCATTTGTTCCTGGAATGAACATAACCGTCCCTAGGGTCGGTTTTTATCTGTGTAGAGGTGCATTAGCCTTTTTTTATATTATATGGTACAAATATGATCAAAAAAGAATATATAAATATGTGTAAGGTGATTGAAATTTTACCATAAGGTTTATTTAGAAATGATTAGATTTTTAAGAGGAATAAAAATTGCAACTAAATCTCTATTTGTTTACTGATCAGATTACATTCAACTTTAAATGGTTCATTTTCAGCCCATTCCTCTGACACCTTTAAAAATGTTCGCATTTTGTCTCAATCTTCTTTATTAGCACAACCGAATTGAGAATGAACTGAGTCAGCATACATGCTACATCACTCTATTCATCCAAAACGTCCCCGAAACTTTCAAACTAATCGTTTGCAAGGTAGGCTTTAAGCTCGATAGTTGGAGATAACTCCTAATCACTCCATATACCACACATTCACACTTCATAGTCAGATTCCTTAGAAAACAATGAATGGACACGCCAGGTACTGTGGTTATCATGAACAATACCTAAAAGAGAGTGAAAAAGACCTCTTTTGCTCTCAGAAGGGAACCAAGAGAGATTAACTCGGGATTCGGAGCATATTACAAAGAATCTTTTAGATCAAAAGTTGTAGCAAATTTTATTCTTAACAATATTGCTTTCTTGCAGTTTCGCTGTTAGATGCGAAAATATCGAGAAAAATACGAAAATGTGAAAATTTGATAAATTTGTAGTTTTACAAGTTGTTAATACTATTAATAGTAATACTTAGGATTCGGAGCATATCACAAAGAAACTTTTAGAACAAAAGTTGTGGCAAATTTTGTTCTTAACAACATTGCTCCCTTGCAGTTTTGCTATCAGATGCATGGACTTCGAGAGAAACACGAAAATATGAAAATTTTATGAATTTCGTTGTTTTACTAGTTGGTAATGGTAACACTTGGGAATCGGAGGATATTACAAAGAAATTTTTAGAACAAAAGTTGTGGCAAATTTTATTCCCAACAATATTGCTCTGTGGCAGTTTTGCTCTCAGATGCGTAAATATCAAGAAAAATACGAAAATGTGAAAATTTGATAAATTCCTAGTTTTACAAGTTGTTAATACTATTAATAGTAACACTTGAGATTCGGAGCATATTACAAAAAAACATTTAGAACAAAAGTTGTAGCAAATTTTATTCTTAACAATATTGTTCCCTTGCAGCTTTGCTATCAGATGCATAGACTTCGAGAAAAATACAAAAATATGAAAATTTTATGAATTTTGTTGTTTTACTAGTTGGTAATGGTAACACTCGGGAATCTGAGGATATTACAAAGAAATTTTTAGAACAAAAGTTGTGGCAAATTTTGTTCTTAACAATATTGCTCCCTTACAGTTTTGTTATCAAATGTATAGATTTTGAGAAAAATACGAAAATTTGAAAATTTTATGAATTTCGTTGTTTTACTAGTTGCTAATGGTAACACTCAGGAATCGGAGGATATTACAAAGAAATTTTTAGAACAAAAGTTGTGGCAAATTTTGTTCTTAGCAATATTGTTCCCTTGCAGTTTTACTATCAGATACATAGACTTTGAGAAAAATACGAAAATATGAAAATTTTATGAATTTCGTTCTTTTATTAGTTCATAATGGTAACATTCGGGAATCGGATGATATTACAAGAATATTTTTGAAACGAAAGTTGTGGCTACTTTTATTCTTAACAATATTGCTTTCTTGCAGTTTTGCTCTCAGATGTGTAAATATCGAGAAAAATACGAAAATGTGAAAATTTGCTGAATTCGTACTTTTACAAGTTATTAATCAGTCGGGATTTGGAGCGTGAAACCAAGTCTACCTTGCTTGAGGTTTATTCAAAAAATAATCTTGGCCGACTACGAAGTCGTCGGCTGCCTCAAGTATTGTTCGTGATATAAGAAATAATCCCAAGTATCATGGACAATACTTAAAAGAATGTGAAAGACAGCTTTTTTGCTCTCAGAAGAGAACAAAGAAAGAATCACTTGGGAATTGGAGCGTGAAACCAAGTCTACCCTGCTTGAAATTTATGAAAGAAATAATAATTTTTTGCAACGTTCGTCGAAATTCCATAATTAAGTTGAATGTTTCACACCAAGCAACTCCATGACTGAAGCTTTCTCACTTTCTCATATTGTTTCATCCTATCCACTAACTAATTCGAATCCTGCATTATTTCTTTAACCCTATCTGCCCTTCATTCAACATGCTAGGAAAATTGGCTCAATTTGATTTCATCAACTAATAACCTAAACTTTCTTCTAAACTTGTCCGAAAATACAATCGGACAATTCTCCAAACATTTCTTCTTATAACACGCCTGTATCCTTTTTACTATTGAAGTTAATACAACTATCATTGTATCCAGGAGTCTTGCATCTTACATCGTCTATTTGCCACTCTTCTGGAACTGAGCTCATCACTCTAATAACTAACTCTAATAATTATTTTCACATATTCTAGAGATGTTAATTTTTCCATCATTTGGTTCTACAGAAACTAATACCATAAGATTTGTTTAAGAAAACTCAATATATCATTTTATTTCATACTTTGAAAACATTTTTTCCCTCCTAAAAATCAAATCATTTCTAGAATTTCAATCACCACTTTTATAAGCTATAAATGTTGCTTACTAAATAATTTCTTCACCATTCTCTTCATCATTTTCCTTTTTTCTTTATTCATTTATATACTTTTTTGATCACTTAAAATTTAAGATTGATAGAGAAATATCGAAAATGTATAACCACACCTGTTATTCTTTCCAAAACGGCGTCACCTTCTAATGAAATTGATCTTATTAAAATTTCATTTGATGGTAGCCTTTAAGAGCGCGCACCATTTTTCTTTGCATTTCTGTACCCAGTTTCTGATTGGATTGTGTTACTTGCCGCCGAAACGGATTCGTCTCAAGCAGGAGGAAAAAAGGTGAAGAGCTCAGAAGATGTTGAGACATCATCTATTCGCACTTACACTTGTTTTTCGCTCTATTAGGCCTTTCTAACTTATATTGTACAGGAATATAAGCAATTCATTTATGTTAATTTTATCATTAAAGTGTTTAAAATTCAATTTGATTTAACGTGAATGGATTGATTATGTAAATTTTTTTATTTAAAATTAAATTAGAAAACGTATCCATAACGTTTTCCCTATAAAATTTTCTGCACAATTCGGAATTATTAACACAACAAAAAGCACACAGCGAGCACTTCAAACCAAAAAATTTTTATTGCATTATGCACCAAATAATACAGTTGCAAGTGCGGTCGTATGGCCCGTTTTCGCATTGTTGTATCTTGTGTGAAAGAACTTCGTAGCCAATAGATGATGATCCATTCCCCAAGCAGAAAAAATTCCAACATTTTTTAGGTGGCAGGATAAAATTGAAGAATTATTTTTAACCACCGTGTTTTTTTCTAGTGACACGAAAAGTGAAGAGTCGTCTTTAGTTTAGGTTCGTGCCCTCCCAACAACAGATCTAAATTTCCTTGAGATCATTTTTTATTTTTTTTGAACGGCTTTCATTTAGGTAGAAAATTGACGGAGACTTGTGCAATGTCAACACTTTATTTTTTCTTTCTCTTTGTAAGTCTCGAACGATTGTTATTTTTTTTTTTTTTTTGAGTCCATTATGCTCGCGAATCCACCCCTTAATTTTGTATAGCGCTCACAGCACCAGCCTGTTTCTCATTCAGGTAATTTTTAGCCACCATTTAATTTATTTAGTCGATCAATACATGATACTCATACAGCACTTTATGCATTTTCAACACTTTGACGTATTCTTCAATTACCTACAGCAAAAGAAATTCGTTTGATGTGGGTAATTAAAAAGCTTTCTAAATTGAAGCAGAAAAACGAATTGGAATATATCGGAAAGGATAAGATGGTTCATCATCTAAATCATAATTAAAATATTGTTTATTAATTATACGAAAATAAACAATGTTTTGCACGTTTTTCCCTTTTTAGAACATGCATGTACGTGTTGTCCTGTGCGAGCATGATCCAATTGGCATTCGTTTTATGTTCCTTTAATATTAATAAAATAACATTAATTTTTCCGCTAATTTTATAATGTGAACTAATAATAATGTTGTAAGGAAAAATTAGTGTTAAATTAAAATAAAAAAGGTCTAAAATATTTTGTTTTGTGCAGACTTAGAAAAGGCAGAATACCAGGTCTGAGAATTCTGGCTTTCGTAGCGAATTGGGTGTGGCCAAGAGACCGCTGTAGGTCCGGAAGCAGTCTCAGCTGGCACCCGGATTACCTTCACCCCTCTTCACCATCAAAGCACAAGTCCTTAGGGAGGATTTCGAGGGCGGCCGATGGACGATTCGTTCTGATCGATTCTTCGCTTAGTTTACGAGCTGAAAGTCTTTCGAATATGAGCAGCAGCGACGACGGGGGTTTCCTTCCGAAACGAAATAACAATCGTGCTTCTTGGAGGAAACCGTTAGTTAGTTATCCGAGTCAATTGAGTTTACGATCGGATGCGTCCGGTCAAAGTGCAAGACCCGTTTGGAATGGTCTCTTAGGAACAGTTACCGGTCCTCGATACTACAACAGCCCCAATTTTAAACCAATTCCAACGATATATAGCCCGAATACGCCTCGGGTACAATGCAGCTCACCTGCAACTTCTAGTGCTTTACTTTTATCGCCATGGACGCCGTTGTACTTTAGTGATTTAAGTTCCGTGCGGTATCCGAGTTCCGGGGATAGATCTTATCCAACACCTCCCGGTTTTGTTCAGTTGAGATCAATGCACGAAAGATACTCGCAAGAATTACCATCATTAAGAGCAATTCACGAAGAATCACAATGTTTCATACCAGTTCATCCAATACGAGTACCACCATCGTATCCTTTATCAAGATCACGAGCGAGATTATTACCCAGACACGCGAGGATAGCAAGAAGTGCTCCAGAACTTGGTTCCCCGGACCATTTAGACCGCTCCCCGGAAAGTCGTTCAAGCTCCAGCGGATTCGGTTCGAAAAACACCTCTTCAAACCAAAATCAAAGCTCTCAATCGGGTTCAACCTTCGAATGGAGATTACCTCCATACAGACCACCACCTCCACCGTACGCTTTACCTCCACCACCACCGATCGTAGGACATTGGTTAGAATTAGCTTCGTCTTCTCCATCGACTTCCGAACAAATTCATCATAAAGCCGTTGACGTTGGAAGCGTTGATGGTCATTACGAATTCGATCCGTCGACTCCCACGCCGACGCCTTCAACGCCAACAGGACCCCGCGATGCCGATTTAGACGTTCCAACTTTACGGAAAAGTTATGGAACTCTTCGGAGCACCCGATATGATAACATAGACGCGCGCGTTCAAGCCATGAAAGAAGAGTTTAACGAATTTCGGAAAAGGCAAGCAAAAAGAAGAAGAAGTCATGAATTAGAGAGCGCGTGCTGACAGTGTATCAACGATTCGTTTTGGTTATTTTTTATTTAACGTGTGATAGACAAGGTGGGTCCTCGCCCCCCGTATTTGAGGCGTACATGTTCTAAATTTTAAACGTCGCAAGGTGGGAAGACCAAGACTTTTTTTAAAAAATGATTACCGTTTAAGATTTCCGCTCACACATCGCAAAGTAAATGAAAATAAATCCACGCGGAAAGGATAATTAATAAGGATAAAAGTATAGTGTTATATAATTTTGAGTCAATTTTAATGGCACTATACTAATTTAATAAGGGGTTTTAATTAAAGTAATCGAGAAACGTCTAGTGTTTACTTCCACAATTCACGTACTGTTATAATATTTTTTTTAATATTAAACATTAACCGAAAATCAAATGACTAAGTACTTAGGATTATTAAAAAAAAATATGGGGAATGTACAAAATAGGACCAAAATATCGTATGGTTATAAAAACTTAACTCTTAAAACTTAACTATTTTCAAAAAAATAACTTGTAAAAAAAGTAATTTATAATGTTAGGGATTGATGACTTCATCAAAAGTTAAATCCTTCCAACGCGGTATAGCATTTTTAAAAAATCGTTTCTGGCTTCTTGGAGGTGCAACGATTACACACCAAAGATTGCATTCAAAACTAAAAATTTTTAGACATATAGTGCTATGTTTAAGTCTAAACTCTATATTAATATCCAAAAAAAATCGGATTCCACTTTAAGAACACTTAAAAAAGAAAAATCATCGCTTTCATTTTTATGGTACGATTACATATCCCAATTATTATCAGCACCGCGACTTTTGCACAGCACTATCACGTCCGAAACGGCTCTAAGGAGTTATAAAGAACTGCGTATAGACCAAAGAGATCTTGTTACTAAAACGTAGCAAAATTAGATAACTTTATTGTGTTCAAACAAAAGTATTCTCTATAAAATAAGGCTATTAAAATTGAAAAAAAAATAAATAAAATAAAATAATTTAAAAAAAAATCGGTTGATACGTTTTTGTAATATTATAACAGTACATGTATTAAAGATATCAAAGATTTATTTTATCGTTATATTTTGTTTTATTAAATTTTTTTGAAGTAAACACCAGATGTTAAAGATGTTATTATAAAACGTTTTCTCTATGAGTTTCTTGTAAAATTGTTGTCGAGGCTCAATATATAAGAAGGTCGGGCGATGTTCGATTTCCCGGAAGTTATTCAACAACTGCCCCGTTGCGTAAAACTCGGGAATTCGAGGCATCGTGTTAATAATTCTAACGCTTTACGCGCAGCCTGTTCAGGCTGCGATTGAACATTTTACACGACAGGCTGTTTGCGATACATTAGGTGTTTTTTAGAAGTAATTCGAAAAGAAAAATAAAGTACCTTCTGCTCAACTGGGAGCCGTGCGGGTTTTTCGCATTCTAAATTATATAAAATTTTAGGCATAATAAGCGATTTCGTTCTTTTTTATTTTATAGTAATTTATTTTTTGTACCTTAATTTGTTACTTGCCATTTTAATTTTTACAAAGCACGTTTTTGAAGATATATATTTTTTTATTTCCCTGTATTATAACTATTATTATTTTTTTAATTAGTACAAGTTATTATACATATTTCTAAATAGTTACGAATGAGGATGGATAAATGATTTAAATGTGTAACGCGAGCGTAAAAAAGAAAGTATAGCGTCGGAAAGAATTTAGAGTAATCACCGATTATTATTACTATAACTACATAAGAGATTCACAGAATTCTAATGAAGAATGTTTTTAAAATGAAATACTTCGACTTGAAACGCCTATTAATTCTCATTGTATTATTTATTAATTTCGAAGGACGGACTTTATCGTTAAGTTTCTTTAAACAAACACTCTTGACCCCTTCAATTGCATGTTTATTGCACCTTTTCTATAAACAAATTTGAAGAAAAATTAACGAACGACTAAAACGATTAAAAGAAAATTTAAAAAAAGAGACGATACTAGTTATACTCTACGATGGTATATTATTATAAATATATCATTTCACAGCACATTGAAAGATAAACTTAGCGGTAGAGATTTTTTTAGTTATAAGTGTTAAGTAGAAAGTCGAATAATGACGACAGAGGACGGACAAACAACCGGAAAAAAATCTAAAAAGAAAATATTAAAAGATAACAAAGTTGTTACTATGTAACTACTACCATTACGCTGTATAAAGCATTAACATCTGATATTAAAAGAAAAATAAACATAATGTTGCCAGATCTCATACAAAATTTATTTGTTTCTTTTACTTCCTTTCCTACAAACTACCTAAAATCATTTTAAATAAAAATATTTTCTTAATAACGTTGCTTCTTCCACCATTTCTTCAGGCGGTCTTATTATACTATCATCACGGTCGTGATTCGCTAATTCTTGATAAATATCATCGTTTCTATCGAAATCACCCGATTTTCTTGGAAGAATATGGACATGAACGTGCTAAAAAAATCATTTGCAAAGTTAGAATTTAATCTTATTTTAATCTTACCGGAACTGTTTGACCAGCACATTTTCCATCTTGCACACAAATCGTCGATGAATTAGCCCCATGAACAGTTTCCATTACTCTTTGCACTTTAACGACAGTTTGGAATAAATCAGATATTTCATCTGGTGAAAGATCTTCTAATCTTTTTGCTATCCTTTTTGAAGCAACCAAAACATCTATATTTGTATTAAGGAAATATTTAAATAACACATAAACTGTCACCAATTTTGTTTTAGTGAATAAATCATATGAATATAAAGGTGTCACAAAAGACCATTAGTAATTTAATTAACAAACAACAATGTACGATCGAAATTCGAAATGTCCACACTTCGCCTTCACACAAACCCGTGGTTGTTTAGAGAACGCAGCCACTGTGGCGGAGAGGTACTCAACGACGAGATTGTCCCATAAAGGAGCCGCTTCAAACTGTCGAGATTTTTGTGAATGTTTCTTGCGTTCTTTTGAAGGACCGACCAGACAAAAAAGTCAATGGGGTTCAATTCTGGTAAGTAGAAGGGCGGTGGATGTGATAATGGCTAAATTTTGTTACTGCATCACTGTTGAACCACCTTAGACTTGTGCGAGAGCGCTGAGTTGTCTTGGAGTGTCTGCTGAAGTGAGACTGGCTCCAAGGAAACACTTCTTTCATCAAAATCCCAACAACGTAGTACTGGGAGTTAATCCCAATCCATAAACTAAAATTAAAAATTAAGAAAAAAACTAAAATTAAGTCTAGGTGATATAAATATATCACATATCAAATGAACGCAACATCAACTGCAGCAAAGAGCAACTTTTTAAATGCATAGAAAGAATGCTGAAACAGATTTATGTTAACACGATTTCCGGATCTTGCCATTATCAATAAAGGAGAGTTTTGACAGGTTGCTTCTAGGAGTAGCTGTCAGATAGTCAAAGCACAACAGAAAATTTAAAACAAAGGTATTTGAGGAATTTGGATTGAATACCCTCAATTCTAGATTTATACGAGTGATACTGAGGATTCCAAACGACGCTGCAAAAGTTAAGTGTGCTGTAGACATACGCAAAATAGGGATTTCTCATTGCATCAATGTTAGAAAAAGCTACTGTGGATCTCATAATAAATCCTAACATAGGCCAGGTTTTGGAGACGACAGTATCAATATATCAATATAAGAACGGAAAGTGATTTTTCAAAACGGCTTTTTGCATTAAAAAGAGGATACTTTAATTAATAATTGGTGATATTTACACAAGGATCCTTCAAGAAATTAATTTTATAGCGAATTTTGAAAATTATCGATGAAAATTGCAACATCGAAAATTTTATCAAAGCTTCAAACATTGTTTCCTCAAAAACTAAAAGTTATTTTTCAAAACGGGTTGGTTCATTAGAAAGAGGACACTTTTCTTAACATTTTGGGAAATTTTCATACTCATATTCCAAGAAATGGATTTTATACGAATTTTTAAAACTTAATCGGTCAAAATTGTAAAATTCGAAAAAATAGTAGATCATTTCAAAAATTTATTTCTCAAGAACGGAAAGTGATTTTTCAAAACGGCTTTTTGCATTAAGTAAAGGATACTTTAATTAATAATCGCAAATGATAACAGCGACAGTTCTGTTGTCTACAATGATTTTAGATTTAAGGACAAAGAATAGACGTGCATGAACTGCTTTCTCAAACACTTTCCCAAATGCTGGCAAAATAGATATGGGACGGTAATCAGATATAACACCACGGTCCCCAGATTTAAAAATGGGAAGAATAAAAGCACGCTTCAACAATGAAGGAAAGACACCCATTATTAATGAAACATTAAATAAAATTGATGGAATACAATCAGTACCAATACTGTCTATAACCCTGATGCCTATCAGGGCCTCCTCAACCTCAATTCTGTCAAACTGCATCTGATTCAAAGGAAGGGCATCCGTTTCCACACTATCTACATTCTGTTGGATTGGAGCAGGATCAACAAAAACCGAAGAAAAGGAATCAGTGTACAACGCGCATGCCATCGTAGAAGGAATGACATCCGCACGCTTCTTAGACTTAGTAAAAGCCCAAAACACTTTTGAGTCAGATTGGATATTGCTTTCAGCTCTTCTAACATACTTCATGTAATTATGATGAATTAGATATTACTAATGATGATTAATATTACTTACTATGTACGACTCCTTAGAATTGAAAAAGTGAGGTAGTCAAGTCGCTTGCCAAAACGTTTCCACTCACAGTGCGCTCTTCTTTTCTCTCGAATTACTTTAATGGTATTATGTGAAAACCAAGTAGGAAACCCTTGGTAGATTTGCTTTTTAAAGGGACAAATTCACTTGTAGCAGTATTCAAAGGCGTCGCCAGGCAGTGGGCCAGGGGGCAGAACGAAAAAAATAAAAAAAAAAGGCCAAATTATTTAAAACATAATTTTTGTGGGTTCTTAGCGAATTGGTCAACCAGATTATTAATAAAACCCTCAAAGTTCTCAAAAATATGCTTCCTATACATGCTCATCATGAGAAGACCATTGAGACGACCATTCTGCCATAGTGCTTCTAAGCCAGGTTTTTATTCTCCTCAAGCTGCTAAAAGATCGTACAACAGTATATGTCGTGCAGTTAAAGTGACCAAAATTATAAAGGTTTTTCTCGTTTCAAGGAAAAAAATGTCGGCATCTTTTATGACATCCACAACACTTAGTTCTTTTGAGTCAGATTTATCTTGCTATAGTTCGATTTCGTTGTTGATACTTAATAAGTGACATGTCTAACATTTGAGCCAGGTGTAATTTAGATAAGGAAAATGATGGGGTATTTTCTTCAGAAAAGCGGACTTCAAGAGAATTAATAATCGGGTCTAAGTATGGTGTTATTAAAGACCTCCGCCAGAATTCTGAGGGACTTGCTGCTGGGTAGCTGTTCTGATGTTGTTGTCTCCCAACAATACGGGGCTTCATGTCTTTTTACTTCATGTCTTTTCCCAGTCCAAGTTTTTCTGGAACGATAGTAGCGTCCCTAATAATTTCATCTCTGACGTTTTCTGGACTGTTACGGTGGTTCTCTATTAATTGCAAAATGCGACAAAGCGCTGGGATGCCTTAACTGTATTCAAAGCAGGTTCCATCATAGCCGAGTATTTGGCTATCAAAATAAAGCTGAGAATAAACGAAACTCTAGAAGCTGCTGCTTGGAGCTGATAAGCATTTTTTCTAGTCGCATTATTTATTCTTATTTTCTTTCCATGACAAGGTTTCTAAGGCCTCCATTATAATATGTTATCTCTAAAAACTCTAATATTTGTGTGTTTTTCGCTCCACCTTGTTTTGCAAAGCCTGGAAATATTTGCTATCAATTTGCGTCTCAAAACTGAAAAAATTGAAAAAATTTAATAATATCTTTGATGAGAGGACAGCGGCCCCCCTCTACCCCTCTCTGGCGACGCCCTTGGCAGTATTAACATAGTTATAAATAATTGGAACAGCGTAGTTTATATCACGACCAGCGAGTTCTGATTCTGTGAATTTCAATAAAGTACTCATTTAATTCAGGAAACCGAGCTTTTCTATAATATATAAGTAAGTAAAATATATATAGTATAGTATAGGTAAGTAAAGTAAAATGAATTGAGCAGGAAAACTCAAGAGTGGAGTGCGCACTGGCCTCAGGAACAATCTTTGGTTTTCTACTTCTGGGACGATCCTCGAATCTACCGGTTTCCTGATAACGACAGATTGTGAACATTTTCTTGTAAGTCGCCCCACTCTCAATCTCAAAATCCTGACACAATCTACGTTTTTAGTAACAATAAGACGAACATGCGAGCAAAATTTCACATTCATACAAAAAAAACTAACAAAGTTACAACGTTGCATAGTTGGGGGGTCCCGGACTTTTATGACACCATCTATTACTCAAGTAGAAGTGACATTTTATGTTCTAAACGATTAAAAAACATATCAATTTTTTAGGATACGTCCAGGTACAACGCATCGAATATTCGTAAAAGCAAAACTATGTTGTGTACATAAAAAAGCTTGTGAAGATAAAATAGTTTTTTGGGCAAAACTAAAACTCTCCTGAGAATCCGGCGATATTAACCCCTTCTCCAATTGAATTATTTTATAAATATCATCTCTGCGATGCTCCAATACTGGCATATCCATTCTTATTTTATCAATTAGCCCCAAATCTATATCGACCATTAATAATTCTTCATCTTTAGGAACATTTTCTGAATAAGTTTTTAATTCCCCAATAACTTTTCCCCATGGATCAACCACCTCAAAATAAATTAAACCACTTAAAATCAAAAAATAAATAAATAAATAAATTACTAACCATTGTTTGACCAAAAGAAACTCTTTTTTTATTATGATTTCCATACTGAGCAGCTGCAATAACATAACATTGATTTTCTATGGCTCTAGCTCGAAGAAGAACCTCCCAATGAGCTTGACCTGTTAATTGTGTAAAAGCTGAAGGGAATGTTAATATTGAAGCACCTTTCTTTCTTAATAATACACTTAACTCTGGAAATCTTAAATCATAACACTAAAATTTTTAACTCAATTATAAAATAACTAATAATAATCTAAAAATTACAATAGCTAATCCAACTAATCCACACGGAGTTTGTACTGGTTCTACAATTTCTTTACCTGGAACGACATCATCTGATTCTTTAAGATTAATGTTTCTCTCTGGAATGGATACATCAAATAAATGTAATTTTCTATATACAGACACAATATTTCCTTGATCATTTATAATAATATGACAATTATTTAACTTTACAGTATCATTTTTGTCTTTAACAATTTCATGAAAACCACCAATTGATAGCCACATTTTAAAAGTTTTTGCTAAATTCAAATACTCTTTAATTAAAGGCCCGTTTAATTCTTCTGCTAAAGTTTTGGCTTCTTCTCTATGTGTAGCAAGATAATCACAAGCTTCAGGTAAAAAAATCATCTTAAATTATAAAATTAAAAGGTAATAAAATAAAAACAAATTTACGTACCTTTGCTTTTTTATCAGCTGCTTCTTGAACTAATCGTTTAACAACATTTAAATTTTCTTCCTTATTATTCGTTGAGGTCATTTGACCCACACCAATTGTACATTTACTCATTTTTCTTGAATAATAAATTCTTGAAGTTGAAAGGAAACTTTTTAAGGTTAGAAATCGCTGAGTGTACATATGGAGCTATTTAACTAAAAAATAATTATTTCAAATTAATTTGTGTAAAGGAATTAAAGGTTTCTTAAAGATATCTTACTCAATTAATCAAATTGAAGGTTTTTTTAACAAAATTTTGAGGTTATGTGAGCATTTGACATTAATATATAGTAACTATCAAAATTTTTTAAACAAATTAATTTATTAAATTTGAAATAAATATAAATACAATTAATTTTTCTTATACATTCGACTATTAAAACCGTTATTATTCATTTCTCGATCAATCCATTCGATAAAAAATCCAACATTAACATAAACTCCGGGAGTTTGATAAACACCACAAGTTAAGCCCCAGGAAACGATCCCGACTTGTTCGTAACGATTCAAATGACCAGAAATAGGACACACTAATGGACTTCCACCATCTCCTTTACACGCATCTTTAGAATTTCCCCCAGCACATGTAAAACTTTTATGCAACTTAAAGTGGGGTCCCAACCGAACGTTTCCTAAAATTTTTGAACAATCCCTTCTATGCACAAGTGGTAAAGTAACTTTTTTTAGTATAGATTGATAAGTTCCGCCTTTCGTGGATTTTCCCCAACCAGTAACTAAACAATTCTCGTTGGTTTTCTTAGGGGGTGATGAAGTTGAAGGGAGGCAAATTACACCAATATTTTCAGTTAATTGGAAAGGTTCTGAGAGGATAATCAAAGCGATGTCGTTTTCTAAATTTTCTGGGCGATATTTTGTATGGACAATAATCTAAAATTTAATTATTTAAATAAGAATATATTAAATTAATTAAGTACTTTTTCTGATGTTCTTTCTTGATAGGGTAAAGGTTCACTTTTAGTTGCCCAATTCCACTCTCCAGCTCTTACAATGTAAGTTTCATCTTCTACAACACAATGAGCGGCTGTTATCACTACTTTTGGATGGATTAAAGAACCCCCACATAAAAATATGTTGCGTTGGATTATTCCCAACATCCAAGGAAACTCTGCAAAATCAGCCTCGTTATTTTCACCTAATATTCGTGATTTCCATGTGTCGTTTTGGAAGGATGTTGGCAGATTTGTGTTTCTTCTTCCGCATTCAACTTGACAACATACATCGAAATCTCCTTTACATGGGTCTAAATTTGTTGGTTTTGTAATTCTAAGGAATAAAGTTTGTTTAATTTTTGCAAAAATTAAGTTTAAATTTAACCTAATATCGATGATGTTTAACCCATCTTCAATCAAACCACTGAAATCTTCTTTACATTGCCAATATGGGACACAAATACAATTTTCTATCGTTATATTTTTACTTTTTAGATTTATGTCTAAAAAATCGTTTTCACTTTCCATTCTTATAGTTTGAAGAAGAAATAATAATAAAATTAACTTCATTTATACCTTGATAAAACATAACTTTAACCTCTCCAACACAAAAACTGGTTCTCGGCGCAAAAACTGGTTTTTATCCAATACAAAATGTCTCTTCAACACTTCTTAACATCGCAATTTTCCTTTTTATTTTTAGTTTTAAATGTTCCACGGATTTTTTCCTCGACAAATTGTACTTGCGTGCCTTATTACCAATGTTCGGAAGATATGGAAAAAGTTTTAATAGATGGAAATGAATTGTTAGACGTTCGCGGATTTAAATCGCATTGTAAAGGTTATTTCGACGTTTGTTGCGTTTTACCAAAAACACAAAACACCACAATTGTACCTAATTTTAAAAAAGGATGTGGGTACAAGAAACGCGATGATTACCCATGGTTGGCCACTTTATATTTTCAAGAAGACATAGCTACAAAACCCATTCCACGTTGCGGAGTTTCTTTTATCCATAAACAAGTCGTTTTAACAGCTGCGCATTGTTTTAATGTTAATCATGGATTATGGACTATTCAAATTGGTAAATTAAATAATCCAAAGAAGTTAATATGAGAATTTGTTTTTTTTAGATGATACAACAATAAATACAAAAACGATAAAGAAACACCCCAAATTTAATCCATTAACGCTTCACAACGACATTTCTGTAATAATTTTAGAAGAACCATTTGATGCAATCACCCCTGAGCAAATAATATGCATCCCACCACCAGGATTCGTTCCAAAACCTGGTCGTTGCCTCGTTGGATCATTTGATAAAACTAACTCCATAGAAGAAGATATCAAAATCGTTGAATTAATTGATTTACCTATCGTTGACAACAAAAAATGTTTAAAATCGTTACGTCAAACTCGTTTAGGTGAATTTTTCCAACTCCATCACAGTTTTATTTGCGCCGGGGGCGAAGATCATAAAGATACATGCCATGGTGATGGAGGTAGCCCTTTAGTTTGTCCAATAAGTGACCAACCTGGAAGATATCATCAAATTGGGATTGTTTCTTGGGGAATTGGTTGTGGGGAGTTAAACACACCAGGGGTTTATGTGAATGTAGCAATTTTTAGGGAATTTATTGATAAAGTTATGATTGATAATGGTTTTGATATGAATAGTTATAAATATTAAGAGATATTTTTCTAATAAATTTAATTATACAATTTATAATTGCTTTTTTATTCAAGAAAATCAATAGAGAAAAAATCAATACATACTGCTATAGAAACTCAACATAAACAAAAATGAATTTGGAATGTTAAAGAAGTAATGTAAAATAGTTGAATTAAAATGGAGTTGGAATTATATAGAATTGATTACACAGTTGTTGGAGTAACTTCAAATAATTGTATGAAATTGATACCATCATCTTGCAGAGAACAACAAAAGGTGGGTGTTTTAATCATAAATATCTTGTAGCACAAGTTTTTTAAACTTAAATAAAATTAGATTGCTGTAGCTGATAACGATGGAGTACTCCAAGTATTTTCGGTTAAAAAAGAAGATATTCAATTGCATTTTAAAACTTTACCAGGTTCAAAAATATCCTCATTGCAATTAGCTGGAGAATATGGTGAGATTTAACAAATTATTCTTAATTAACACATTTTTATAGAAAATTTAGCAGATAAAATGTTCATCGCATCAGAAAATGAAATAAGAGGTTACACAAAAAAAGGAAAATTATTTTTAAGTTTTGACACAAACTTAACAGAACCGATTATTTCAATGTATATCTTAGGAAACGATCTCTTCGTTTGTGGTAAACACATTTTTAATCACTATAGAGATTGTAAAGATATCGGTTCTTATTTATGTGGCGATTGTATCGTGGATGTTCTGACTTTTCAATCGGAGAAAACGAAACGATTAATTTCATTAATCGCTTGTGAAGGTCGAATGATTAGAGCATTGGAACATGCGAGAGTTACAATTAGTGTTGAGGTTGAGGCTGCTCCGACAGTTTTATATTTATTAGAACAAAATGGGAGGCATATTCTTTTTGGAACAGTCGATGGAAGGATTGGAATTTTAGATGTTGAAAGTAATCAACCTTTTAAAAGGTGGTTGATTGATAATAAAAAATTTTCTAGTGGGATTTCAACGATTTATTCTTATGATATAACTGGGGATGGAAATAAAAATTTATTTTTGGGGCGAAACGATGGGAACATTGAGATTTACACGATTAATATTTTAGATGAGTTAGATACATCTTATTTGTTATTCGTTAATGTACGTTTTATTTTGTTATTTGATTATTTAATAAATTTTTTATATTTAAGAATTGTAATGAAAGTGTTACTTCAATACAATGCGGATTTGTTGGGAGTATTTATCACGAAGAAGTTCTTATTTGTACTTACACTGGAAGAATTTTTGGGTTAACTCCTGAAAGTAACGAAAAAAATATTGCGACAGATACAATAAGTGGAAATTACAGTTATTCTTCTGATACTAAATTAAAAATTTCTAAATTAAAGTATAAATTATATTAATTAAAATCGTTTAAAAAATAAATCACTTTTTTAGATTAGAATTAGAAGAACTTCAAATAAAGGTAACTAAAGAACGTGAAAAGTACCAAACAGCGACTTTATCATATTTAGACGACATCACAGTAATTCCAAATTGTCCTATAAAGGATTCGGTAAAATTAATTTTATTTTAGAAATTAATAATATAACTTAATCGTTTTTTTTAAGATGGTTCTTTCGAAATTGGGAGCCTCTTACGTTTTATCTTTAGAGGTTTCAATGCCGATAGATAACATTCTTCTTCAAAGTGATGTTCCATTGGATTTATTGGACGTTGAAAAAAATTCCGCCGTTGTTAGTTATTGCAACAACAAAGATGATCGAAATTATTTATTGGCTACATATCGTTGTCAAGTGAATACTAATCGATTAGAAGTGAATGTAAGAACAATTGAGGGCCAATATGGAATTTTACAAGTTTATATAACCCCAATTATACAACCAAAGTTTTGCCAAGTTCGGTTTTACGAAATAAAACCTTTAAGTTTGCATTTGAGAATACATCATTTCGAAGAAAATAAGTAAATTTTATATTACATGAAATACAACGTTTAAAACTTTAATTACAGACCATTCAACACTTTAACAATTAAAGGAAGTTTTAGTTTAGCTGAAATGCATTCTTGGGTTTATCAATGTTTACCGGAAGTGCCTGAAAAACCTCAATTAATCGAAAAAACTGAGTTGTATTTTCAATCGACGTTTTTGGGAACTATTTTATATTGTAGTTATTGGTTTGTATTTATTTCATATTATAGAATTAAAAAAATAACGAAAAATTATTTTAGGAAAGGAGAGGGTGTTTTTAAGTCAGATAACGTATCAACAATATCAATATTAAAAGAATTTATGTCGAAAGAAGCCACCAAGAAGAAAATTAAAGTCGATATAACAGTTTGTAAGAAATTTTTTTGATTACTTATTATAAATTTAACAAATAATACTTATGAATTAATTTTAGTTATAAATGATGAAAGTATTAATCACGTTTTAAAAACGATCGAACCCAAATTAAAGGACCATATTGATTTGGTAACAAAAGTTTCAATGTTGGATGCGTTACATGAACTTGAAGTGAATGATGAACAATCTTTAAACAGTCTATCACCAAAATACAAAGATTTATTGGCTAATGAAACTAAATTAAGAGCAGAATATGTTCAACAACCTTCTTACTTGGATCGTTTTTACGGTTTGTATTAATAATTATTAATAATATATATTATAAGGTAGTCGTGGACAAAAATATACAACAATCTAGCGTTGAATAAAAAATAAAACTAGACTAACACTAACACTAGAACTAAGACCTAGACGTTTTCTTTCGGTCATGCGCATACATGACACTCGTCCCTCCCGGATTTCTCGAACATTACAAACGTAATTTTCTAAATAGTGAGGTTTCTTTCGTTCTCTTGTTGCTCTCTCTTTGGTTGTCTCTTGGGCCTCTATTGCTCCTGGTGGACTGGATTCAACGTTCACTGATTGCTGATCTTGGCCATTCGTATTGTTTGCAGATGACTCTTCCACTCGTCCACGTAGTTGATCTGTGTGTCGCCTGACATTGTTTCCATCCGGCAATTCCACTCTGTAGCTTACTGGACCACTTTTCTCTGAAATTGAAGCTGGTATCCATTTCGGACCTAATAATAAATTAATATACTAAATCAACTGTTACAAAAGTTCTCGGAGTTTTGCTATCCATCTTCGACTCTTGTTTTGCTCTCATTGATTGGGAGAAATCTGGTTTTACTTTATCCAACAATGTTATCAATCTTCGCTCCATCAATATCTCCGCGGGTGATTTTTCAGTTGTACTATGAGGTGTACAATGTTGTGTAAGTAGATATCTTGCTAATGTTTTGTGGATATCTTCGCTATTCATCTTCTTCAACACCGCCTTCACGTTTTGTACCCTGTGCTCTGTCTGACCATTACTACTAAGGTGATAGGGCGCTACTAATGCTTGTCTGATGCCATTCTTTTTTAGAAAATCTTTAAATTCTGCAGAGGTAAACGCTGTAACATTGTCAGAGACGATGACCTCTGGCAAACCGTGAGTTGCAAATAATTGTCTCAATACTGAGATTGTTACAGCACTTGACGTAGTATAAACCTGATGAACCTCCAGCCATTTTGAATAAGCATCAATTGTAATTAGAAATGTTCTTCCTTTTACCGGACCAGCAAAATCTAAGTGCAATCTAGAACAAGGCGCTTTTGCCCACTCCCATGGATGTACTGGTGCCATAGTTGACATATTTCGCGTTTCTTGGCAAACTATGCACGTATTAGCTTTTACCTCAATTTGTTTATCTATCCCAGGCCACCAAACATATGATCTTGCAAGGGCTTTCATCTTCACGATTTCTGGATGTGAAGCATGGTTCTAGTATCTCTTTCCTCCCTCCTGGTGGAATCACAACTCGTGGTCCGCATAGGGTACAATCCATGTAACATGATAATTCTCTTGCCACAAAGGGTTGAAATTCTGCACACACTTCTTTAGTATTTCGAGGCCATCCTTTCCAAATCCATTCTCTTACCCTGGATAAGATTGGAATCTTTTCCGTAGCAATCGCTATATCTTTTGCTTCTCTCATTTTTTCAGGTAAGTTTTCTAACATCAGTACTTCCAATGCTCGCGGTGGTTCTCTACATTCAATTTTGAGTGGTAACCTGCTCAACGCATCAGCATTTACTAAATCTTTTCCAGGTATATACTGTAACCTATAGTTATATGATAGTCCATCTCAGCATACGAGGCGATAAGATTTCTGGAGTAGGTTTATTTTTCCCCAAAATTCCCAGTAGAGGCTTATGGTCTGTCCTGAGCTCGAATGTTCTTCCGTAGCAATAATCATGAAACTTTTTAACCGCTGTCACCAATACCAAAGTTTCTCGATCTATTTGTGCAAAATTTCTTTCCGTGGTTGTTAATGTACGGCTATGATAAGCGACAACAGTTTCTTCGCCCCCGTTGACCCTTTAGCTTAGAACGCATCGCACTCCATATGGACTTGCATCAGCCGTGATGACTAATGGTTTGTTTTCATCGTAGTGTGCCAAGACAGATTCTGTTGTTAGTAAATGCTTTAGTTTATTGAACTTTTCCATTCAAAAGTTTTGTCTTAATGTAGAAGTTTATGTAACGGTTCAGCAATATTTGCTTTATCTTTCAGAAAGATATGGTAGAAATTTACCAAACCCAAAAATGCCTAAAATCATTCGAGTTTAGCCGTCTCAAGAGACGTCTGGCTAAACCCAAATGTTTCTAGTCAAGGTCTAATGTTAGTTCTAGTGACAGTGCAACTGTAAAACTAGAACTAACACTATACCTAGAACTTGTTAGAACAGTTCTAGGTCTTGTGTTACTTCTAGTGATAGTGTTAGTGTAAAACTAGAACTAACACTAGACCGAGAACTAGAAACATTCGGATTTAGCCGCACGTCTCTAAAGACGGCTAAACCCAAATGATTCTAGTTGTAGGTATAGTGTTAGTTCTACATAGTTACAGTGCTAGTGTAAAACTAGAACTAACACTAGACCTAGAAACATTCGAAACCTTCTAGTTCTAGGGTTAGTTCTAGTTTTAATTGTTATGCAGCGCTAGACCAAGAACTAAAATCATTCGGGTTTAGCCGTTTTTAGAGACGTGCAGCTAAACCCAAATGATTCTAGTTCTAGATATAGTGTTAATAGTAACAGTGCTAGTGTAAAACTAGACTTTCTATTAATTATAATTAACACAAAAGTAAAAATAAAACTTTAATGTTTATCTTTTTAGGTGTAATAACAGATTTATACGTAGATTATCACAAATTAAAAGGAGTTAATGTTAAAACAAAGGTGCCCAAATTACTGAATTTATTAGATAACTTTGATTATGATACAGTTTTAGCAGAGTTTAGGCCTGAAATTGTTAATTAATTAATAACTAAATAAACCATGATTTTTAATTATTTTATTTTTTCAAAAATACAACACCAATTTCCTTCATCATAATAATAATCAACAATTTTAATGTTTTCAATTTCCAAACACATATTAAATAATTCTTTTTCTTCGAAAGTATGGTAAAAACGTAAATAAGTTTCGTTTTCTTTACAATTTCCTGTCTCATCATCATTTTTATTGATTTTGTCCTTTTTAATCCAAGGAACCAACATATCTTGATGTTGAAACGTTGTCCTATTTACATGAACCGGTAAAGAAACTTCATTTTCGATTTGTACATTTTCACAAGGCGAAGAAAACGAATTTGATTCTTGCCGTTGTTGTTTAATGTATTTACTTTTTTGTTTATCTTTTTTATATTGATCTTTCGCCCAAACGTAAATCAATCCTTTTCCACCAATAAACAAAATTCGAATCATTTCTTCAATCGCTTTTTTACGGCGTTCCTTAAATATAAATTAATTTAAAAAAAATTTACTCAAATTTCAAATTAAATCTTACATAATTTGCTAAATGATGAATAACTGCTATACTTATAGCTCCATCAACTGAAGAATCTTTTAAAGGCACAGAAAGACAATTACAACAAAAAACTTCTAAATCACGATTTTTACAAACATCTAATAAACCTTTACTGTAATCACAACCAATCTTAAACAAAAATCATTACTAAAATATCAAAAATTAAGGATATTTTAACATACAGATAAAATATTTTCGCCAATTCCAATATTTTTCCCATTTCCACACCCAACATCAATAATAATCGATCCCAAATCAAAAGTGTTTAAAAATTTAACAACTCCAGGCCACGGTTTATTTCTTGTTGTATCAAAATGATCCGCAATACATTCATAAACGGTATGAACATACTTTTTTTCGATACTCTCCGCGATGTTACCCGTTAAATTATTGTTTTCATTTAATTTTGCGTAAGAATCGCAATATTCCGGGTAATCACAATTGCATTCGCCTTGTAAAACTTTTCGAAATGTGAAAGATGTCCTTACAGATCTTTTATGAACCGTAAAACGGCCTTGTTTTGGAATTATATCGTATTTTCGACCTATAATAGCGTGGGACCAACAATATCGCGATTCGCCAGAAAGAATAGCGAGAGATCTTTGAGGTAAAAAAATATTTGCGCGTTTATCTTTTAATTTAAATTCCATTACAGCAGAGGAACCTAGTGATAATGATAGAATGGGATCTTCAAATGCAGAGTGAGTATCAATATGTGGGGCGATTCCATCACCTGGTTTATAATAATTAATTGTTAATTGATCTGGTTTGAAATGCTTTAAGTTGGATTTTTCTGATAAACGGGTCCATAAAAAATCGCATTCTTTAGGAATATTTTCAGGTAAAGGATCATTTTTTGAAACATTATTGTTATCATAATTAAATTGGTACCCGTAACTTTTTGTTAAACGTTTTTTTAAAGTCATACATTCCTTTGATGTCTCAAAATTATATAAACCTAATAAAATCATTTCTTCATCTTCATTGATGAAGTCATTTATAATTATTAAACCCTGAGGATGTTCATTGAATGTATTTGTTACATCGGGAATATTTTTTGTGTATTGTAAATAAATAGGTTTATTATCTTGTGCAATCGGTAAAGATCCATTGAATTGTTCAAAAACTTTTTGTGATGATTTTTCATTTTCAAATTGAACAAAACAAAAGGATTTTCCTGGTAACATAACAATATTTTCAATTTCTCCCATTTTAATAAAATTATCATAAACAACTTCTTCAGAAAGTCCGTTTACTAATCCAGCATTACAAATTGCAAGATTCTACAACAACATAACCTCAAAAAACGAACTGTCAAACTCGTGACATTTTTGTTTATTTATCAATGAAACAAAAATTACCTTAGTAACGTCGGAACTGACATAAATACCAGCTTCATCTAAAAGCATATTTTCATACTTTTTGAGTTTCCTTTCCAGTTTCTTTTGTAATTTTTTATCCATTTCAAAAGAATTTCTAACAAAAAAAGGTTATGAAACATACAACTCCCACGAACACACGGGAGAGAGCGCGCGGATCACGTCGCTGTCTACTTTATCGGCGCTCAACATTCGCTTCTATTTTATCGAAAATGGCTGATGTTTTGAGTCCAGAGATTTGGAAAAATTGGGAAAAGAATGGAAAATCCGAATTGTAAGTAAATTCTTTTACGAATATTGTATCTGTATAACTGTCACCGTATTCCTTTCCATACAAAAAAACTTGATCTCATAAAAACCACCTTGCTGGCCTTGGTGTAACATGATCATGTGTTTTATTATCATTTAGAACATGCTGATAGAATAATATTTTCTTTTAAAGCGTAAAATCGTGTATACAAATCATCAAGGATGAAGGGAAAAGTGTTGTATTTGAAAAGGATAAACGAATAAACAACCTTACCCAATACATCAACGATTTGATTATAAGGGGCATTTATGGACCCTTGAAAAAAGAGTCTGTTGTTAACACTTTGCAAGAATTAGTGGTATGTTAATTTTATTTATAGCACTAGGAGTATTAAATTAATATAATGATCATTTTTAGACCTTACACAATGATATTCCATCTATTATTCTCGATATTTTAAATATAGCAGATGCTGACACATCTGTTTTTGACAGTCAAAATGAAGATTCTAAAGAAAGGGCTAACTTTTGTTATATTGTCAAGGAATGTGAAAAGGTACATGTACTGAATAATTTATGATTTAAATGATTCTTATGATTTTTGTAGTTTTTATCAGATAAATTGCTTAAGGAAAGATCAGAGCTTGATACTTTATTAGAAGTTGGTATTTTGAAGAACAGAAATTTTTATACCAAGTTTATTAAAGTCAAAACTAAGTTATAGTAAGTATTTTTTGTTTTGTTACATTTTTGCACTATGTTAAAAAGTGCTATAATATCTTTTTTACTGCTAAGACTTCTTTTACTTGCGAAATTTCTGTAAGAGATTTGATCAGTATAAACATAAATTTATTAAATTACATTTAATGTACAGCTTGGCAAATCTATCTAATCCTGTTAAGGTCAGGAAATAATGAATGGTACCTTCAGAGCTCATTTCTTTGTTATGTTTATTGATTTATACATAAAAGTAGCAATACAACAAGCGCTTTTTTTTTTAAATTTTTACAGTAACAATAACAAAAAATTAAGGAAGTTCCCCTCAAAGTTATAGATATGCCATCTAGATCTGGGTCCTTAGATGTGGCACACTATCAATAACCTCTTTATTAACCTCCAGAAAATCAAAACAGTTAATGGAAACCGTATTATGACTTTGATCTCCCTCAGGATATACACCAATAACTGGTCAGATAACCAGAGAAAAGAGCACAGACTTCTTCCCCATTAGCAGAGCAAACTCCATTATGACGGACAACTGCGCCAGCACTTCAACACCACCTCTTTTCTGTTTTGCATATGCCCAAAATTGTTTAGCGTCAGAGTCAACATGAATTAAATAAGTATTATACAGTACTCAACAAAAGTATTAGTGCATACATTGCAAAAATTAATTGAAATATTATAAAATATGTCAATTAATTTGTAATGTGGTCGCCCAGTGGGAAATCCCTGCAATCAGCCACCTAAGTACTGGCAGAAAAACAATAACTGATTGGGATAGGAGGAAAAGCCTATACCCAGTTTGTAATCCTCCTTTAAAGATATTTTTACAGTTAGAGTTCTACTGTAGACAATTTCGGTAATCAAATAATAACTAATTGACATATCCCTCTCTTTCTCTCCATGCAGTGCATCTTTCCTAACTTTGCAGTTTATCTCCATTTGCTGTGGTCCAAAAAAAGATCGTATCTCAAAAATTAATTGAGATATCGTCATGAAATAAAAAGCAATTTAAACTAAATTTATTTAGACTTTAATGTATTGAAGATCATTTCTTTGAATCTTCAAATTTCGGAGTTATGATTTTTTGATTGCAACCTTGTACAACTGTACTATGCGTTAGAAAAGTTTTTTAATTAGAACAAATTGCAATTAAATAAAACTAAAACCAAATTACTCACGTTTTATAAGAAAAACCAATGATCACGTTACAAATCAAGAGACCAAATTCCTTGGCGTGGTGTTTACTGAAACTTTGAATTAGTCAGAGCACATATAATAATAATAATAATGATGGTAAGTGTTTGAAAGTAATAGTAAAAAACTTACCATCGTCTGAACCACGAAATGTGTATTTCTCATACTTTCACAGCATGGAGGTGTATGGCATAGCAATATGGGGTGCTTTCAGTGACCTAAAAGAAGGTTTCAAACTACAAAAGAAAGCGATAAGAGCGCTAGTAGGTCTAAAACAAAGTCAGAGTTATAGAGGTCATTTTAAAACTCTAAATATACCGACATTACCATCCTCATATATACTTACATGTCTAGACTATATACACAAAAACGGATGCACTAACCACAATTACAGAGTCTCACCCCTACTGCACAAGACAAGGAGATGACATCCACAGACTTCCATATCACAGAACAACAAAATCACAAAAAATTGTTAACTATATATCTATAAAGTTATACAATGAATTATTATCACCCCATTTCAAAACATTGAATATGAAGAGTTTAAAGAGACAGGTCAAGAATATACTGTTTGAAAAGGATAGAGGAATACTTTGCAGCAATGAAGATAAACTAATGAATACCTGTTTTCTTTATTGCCATTATTATTACGACTTTTATTTGACGAGAATATGGTACATTTTGATGCATATTCAATAAACTTATTATTATATATACATTTAACTACTGTAGGTATCAGAAGTTCGCCTATCTCACTTCAATGATTTCCTGTTGTACATCTGAGCTTCCAAAATGGATTTGCCAAGCTGTAGAAAGTTAATTAGTTATTTAATTAATACATATTATTTTTATAGCTATAAACAACGAAAATTTAACTTATTTAGAGAAGAAAGTGAAGGTTTTGCTAAATTAGTAACTGAATTAAACCAAGAATTTGGTGATCATGTAACTCATAAACACTTATTAGACATCGTCCAATCATTAATTGGTAAAATAATAAAATTTTTCTTTTTATATAAATCTTTTTGTTAAAAATGCGTTTATTTCTTAGGATGTTTTAATTTGGATCCAAATCGTGTTCTTGATGTGATACTAGAAAGTTTTGAAAATAAACCAAACGATACCAAACTTTTCATTCCTTTGATACGTTCCTATATGAACGACCCAAAAATAATATGTGAAGTTTTAGGATCGAAATATATTTTTTATAGGAACACTAACGAAAAAGTTCCAAAATCTTTGTGTGTTTTAACAGCACAGTTACTTCAGCATAACATTATTAATTTGGATGATATTTATATCTGGGTATGAAAACATTAATTTTTTTAATAATTTTTAATAAAAAAAAATTAATTTTGTATCAATAGTTGAGTCCTGATGATAAAACGATGCAAAAAGAATGTGAAAAAGATATGAAAGATGCAAAAGAATACGTAAGAAAACTGCAAATTATCTCAATTAGTAACAAAGAAAAAGAGGAAACACCGGAAGAACGAGATAATCCCGTTGAAAGATATTATTTTAATCAAAAGTTCGGTCTTTGCGAAGCTTTGGTTAAAATTGGCGATTGGAAAAACGCTCAAACTTTAATGAAAAGATTACCTGAACATTACGCGATTGAGCAAGAACCGATTGCTGTTTCTTTGTGCGATTTACTTCATCGCATAATCGAACCGGTTTATAGACAGTAATTATTATTTAAAATTTATTTTTATTGCGTAAATTAAAATCAAAATTTTTTTAAAAAATAGAAATTGGAAAATTGGAACTAAAATTTTAGGAAGAGTCATAAAGCTCCATACGAATCCTTTAGCACCAACTCCAGCTTATACATTTATGGATCTCAGGGAAACGGTAATTCCCATGTTACTTCTTTTAGGACCTTCGCTTCGTTACGATTCCGTTTTAATGTACAAAATAATACGTATAGCTAAACTAGCGTTGTCTTCTTATGGAATTGAAAATCATCGTTCGATAATTCCAACAAACGATACATTGTACTATGACGTTATCACTTTATTGGATACAACAATTTTACCTTCTTTATCATATATGGATTGTAATTGTTCGGTGGCGGAAGAAATTTGGAGTCTTTTAAAGTTATATCCATATCAAACCAGATATTGTTTGTATAGTAGATGGAAAAATGAAACTTATTCACTTTACCCAGAGTTATTACGTAAAAGAGGTGACTCTGAAAAACAAATTAAAAATATTATGAAACGAGTCAGTAAAGAAAATATTAAGCCAGTTGGAAGATTAATTGGGAAATTAACGCATAGTTCGCCGGGATTTTTATTCGATTATATTTTATTACAAATCCAAGTTTATGATAATTTAATCCATCCTGTAGTTGACTCCTTAAAATATTTAACAAGTCTTTCTTATGATGTACTTGGGTTTTGCCTTATTGAATCATTAGCTAACGCAGATAAAAAGCGAGTTAAACATGATTCTACATCAATTTCAAGTTGGTTACAAAGTTTATCAAGTTTTTGTGGGGCCGTTTTTAAAAAATATAACATAGAACTAACCGGATTATTGCAATACGTTGCCAACCAATTAAAAGCACAAAAAAGTTTGGATTTACTAATTTTAAAAGAAATTGTTCAAAAAATGGCGGGAATTGAAGCTGCTGAAGATTTAACTGTCGAACAATTAAACGCTATGGCCGGTGGAGAACTTCTTAAAGCAGAAGCTGGATATTTTAGCCAAGTTAGAAACACAAAAAAATCTTCTTTGCGTCTCAAGGAAGCGATGGCCGATCAAAACTTGGCGGTCGCAATGTGCTTGTTGATGGCCCAACAAAAGTATTGCGTAGTTTACCGAGAAACACAAAAAAGCCATATTAAATTGGTTGGGAAATTATCTGATCAATGCCAAGATACTTTGGTGCAATTTGGAACTTTCTTAGGTTCAACTCTTTCAGTTGATGAATACGTAAATAAGTTACCTTCTATACAAAGTATGCTTCTTGATTATCACATTCCGAATGAAGTTGCTTTCTTTTTGGCCCGACCCATGTTTAATCACGCTATAAATGTAAGAATTTAATTTCTTTTTTTCATTGCAACTTGATTAAAAAACTTTTTCTAGCAAAAATATGATCAATTACGCAAAGCTGATCCAAATTATAAAAAGATGTCAACATCAGCAAAACAACAAAAATATTACGATGCTGTACAAGACTTTATGGCGCCAGTACATAAATCGGTGATTCCGTTACATCTTCCTAAAGTATGGGAGGATGTTTCACCACAATTTTTAACAACGTTTTGGTCCTTAACAATGTATGATTTGTATGTTCCTGAAGAAACTTATCAACAAGCGATAAATAAAATAAAACAGCAATCATTGAATGCAATGGATACAAACACAAGCAAAGGGAAAAAGGAACAGGAAAGGTATTTAACTTTAATAGAGAAATTACAGGATGAAAAACGAAAGCAAAATGAGCACGTTGAAAAAGTTTTATTCCGTTTAAAACAAGAAAAAGATTCATGGTTTTTATCGCGATCTGGAAAATCGGCCAGAAATGAAACAATAACTAGATTTTTACAACTTTGTATTTTTCCACGATGTACTTTTACAGCGGTCGACGCTGTTTATTGTGCTAAATTTGTTCATACTATTCATATGTTAAAAACAGCGAATTTTTCTACGTTATTATGTTATGATAGAGTAAGTTTTAACAAAATAATCATACAATAAAATAAAATAATAACAACTAAACAATTTTTTAGTTATTTTGCGATGTAACATATTCAGTAACATCTTGTACAGAAAATGAAGCGATGCGTTATGGTAGATTTTTATACGCAATGTTAGAAACGGTAATGCGTTGGCATAAATCAAAGGAAGTGTTTGAAAAAGAATGCGCAAATTATCCTGGTTTTGTGACGAAATATCGTATAAGTAATCAATATTGCGATAATTTGGATAAAGTTGGTTACGAAAATTACCGCCATGTTTGTCATAAGTGGCACTATAAATTAGCCAAAGCAATGATAATCTGTTTGGAATCGAAAGATTATGTTCAAATTCGAAATTCACTGATTATTTTGATCAAAATCATACCCTTTTTCCCAATTTTATCGAAATTGATTCAAATTATCGAGAAGAGAATCGAAAAATTAAGGGACGAAGAGAAAAATAAAAGGCAAGATCTTTTTACTTTAGCTACAAGCTATTTAGGACAATTAAAACAGAGGATTGCGAGTGGGCATGTTATGCAAGAAAGCGAATTTCATCAAAATGTTGAAAAAGAAAAGGTAAAAAAAAAAGAAAAGGTTGTATATTTTTAAGATGTATATGTTTTTAATTGATTTGTTTAGACCAAAGTACACGAAAGTAAAAGTCAAGAAATTGGTGGAAATAATAATATGAAACAAAATGGGGAAACAAAAACAGGTATTTTAAATAATTTTAATAAAATTGTTAATTTATTAATAATAATAATTTTTTTTGATTGTTTTTAGATCAATTGGATGTAAAAGATGTAAAAGAGAAAGAAAAATGGGACAAAAAAATAACCAGACCTGAATCTGGATCAAAATCACAAAATAATTCACAATCCCAAATGTCAAATGATAGTTCGTAAGTTTTATTTTTAATTTATCTTATTGTGTTTCGAAATTGTTTTTTAATTATAGAAGTTCTGACCGGTTGGAAAGAGATCGAACTCCAAAAGAGGAACGTGAAAAGCACAGTCGTAAAGAGGAAAAACGCGATGAATCTGAACGCGATCGAGAAAGAGAGAAAAGACGAAACGATCGCAAAGAGGAGAAACTTATGAAAGAAGAGAAATTATATAGGGTGAGAAAAATGATTGTTTTCTCCATAATTTTTGTTACTAATTTCAATTTGTTTTGTTGCTTTTTAGGAGGAAAGGTACATAGAAATAATAAATCCAAAAGATGAACCAAGGTACGGAAATGAGAGAAGCCAATCGGATCGTTATTATGATGAACGGAGCCACTATTTCCGCGAAATGAGAGACGACCGCGATTTGATGACCTCCGCCAATTCAACTTCCGGTAGCATGTCCAGGCATAGTCAGGAACCCACCGAACCAGACAGAGGTAATCAAAAACAAATTAAAGTTGTATATTTCCCTAAAGAAAAAAAATTAATTTATAATACAGGCCATATAACGTGAGACAAGCGATTATCTCGAAAATGGTTCATTTTACATAAAAATGAACCAAATGAAACTTAATTAAATAAGTAAAATAACTATGTTTTGGAGATGGATAATTATATACAGGGTGTACAAACGGTATGGAATAATGGTTCTACAGCCTAAACTTCAACTTATATTAAAAAAAGTTTTAAATAAAAGTTACTTAAAACTATTTTCCGCATATCTTGGCGTATAACTAAAATAAAAATCTTGACAGCAGTCTGAGTTACGACATGGTGAGCGTGTTTTTTAAATGGAACACCCTGCATATTTTAAGGTTTTTGGATTCCTTTTGACAAGGTGTTGCTAAATGCCATAAGGTTTTAATGCTTTAAACTGCATAGTTTTCGAGATATTGAAACTTTTATTTAAAAAGATTTGACGTAGCGACAACCAAATTATGGCGTCATTATGGAATAGACAACCTAAGCCTTGACGTCACAGGGATGGGTGCAGCTTAACCGACTCCAAACATCTTCGTTGCTAACGAAAAATCCGGATATGCAATTTTTCAATAGACTTCCTAAGTCCGACGTGACAGAGATGGGCGAAGCTGAATCCAATCACAGTTGCTGAATCCAAAAACCTTAAAATGTACAGGATGTTCCATTTAAAAAACACACTCATCATGTCGTAACTCACACTGCCGTCATCATTTTTATTTTATTTCTACGCCAAGATATGCGGAAAATAATTTCAAGTAACTTTTATTTAAAACTTTTTTTAATATAAGGCTGAAGTTTGGGCTGTAGAACCATTATTCCATACTTTTTGCACACCCTGTATATTGAGATCACTACTATTTTGTAGTCATCTTCAGGAGAACATTAGAGACGTCATTTTTGCTTTGAATTTTCTAAATCTGGATTCATCTTCTTCATTGTATTCAATTTTTAAATTTTTTGTTGTTAATTATTGTTAAGAAACTTTTCTATTTTGTGTTTTTATTTCTTTTTATATTTATGGCAGTCACTACAACGGTTGTTGTTTTTTGAAATGACAAATTAAAGTTGTTCTGTGCGAAGGGGGAAACCATATGACGATAACGTTTTTGAGCTTGACCTTATTTTCAAGGTTATATGAAGGTCATGACCAATTTTTTAAATGGCACCCTTTATATTTTATTGTAAAATATGAATCTGTTGATAAAGCATTTCGATGAAATTCGAAATCTTCTTTGATCGAGTTATATTTTTCGACATTCATAGGAAGATATCAATAAATTGACAGATTATACAGTTTTCGCTAGTTTGTCTCGCAATTTCTCAGTTCCTATGCTTCGGAGAGCAAAAGCAAAAGAGAGCAAAATTATAGAAGATAACATTTTCTACAACTTTCCTTATTGCATGTTCTTTGTTTGAGTTATATTTTTCGACACTCATAGGAAGATATCAATAAATTGACAGATTATACAGTTTTCCCTAGTTTTTTTGCAATTTCATATTTCCTATGCTTCGGAGAGCAAAAGCAAAACAGAGCAAAATTATAGAAGATTAAATTTCCTACAACTTTTCTTATTGCATCTTCTTTGTTCGAGTTATATTTTTCGACATTCATAGGAAGATATCAATAAATTGACAGATTATACAGTTTTCGCTAGTTTGTTTTGCAATTTCTCAGTTCCTATGCTTCGGGGAGCAAAAGCAAAAGAGAGCAAAATTATAGAAGATAAAATTTCCTACAACTTTTCTTATTGCATCTTCTTTGTTCGAGTCACAAATGACTCGAACAAAGAATTTCGATTGACATTTCTCTGCCTTTGTCAATTTGATAATAGAATAACGCAAGAGTTCGTGGAACTGCTGATGTCGGCATTTTCAGAATATTTCTTTGAGAGACTTAATTGGTTGAATTGTTTTAAAATGTAAGAGGTAGAACTAAATTTGCATAAAAACTGCTTGGCAACAAATTTTGAATTCATTCCATCGTTTTACATTAAGGCAAAGTGTTTAAACTAAGTGATTACATCATGGATACTCTAAGTGTGGCAGAAAAAATCGAAATGATTTCTATTTATGGAGAAAGTGGCAGAAAAGTTGCTGATAGTATAGCTTTGTATCGAGAACATTTTACTGATCGAAATACGCCTTCGAGAAGTACCTTTTACAGAGTTGTGAATAATTTCACTAACACTGGATATGTGGAATCAAGAAAAGGAAATTACGGTATTAGCTAGCGTTGAGGTAAATCTTCAAGTTAGCACTGGACGACTTGCAATTGACGCCGGAATATCGAAGACCAGCATTTTAAGAATATTAAAGCGCAACAAGTATCACCCATACCACATTTCATTATCATCAACAGCTTTATGGACGTGATTTTGACGAAAATCTTGAAAAATTTGAACGAATGAGGTTGGACGTCAATTTCTTTGGTAACGTGCTATTCTCGGATGCGACTACTTTTACAAACAAAGGACAAGTCAATAGACATAACATGCACTATTGGAGCGTTGAAAATCCGAGATGGTTGCGTGAAGTAGAACATCAACGACATTGGTCGGTTAATGTTTGGTGTGCCATAATTGATGATAAATTGATCGGTCCATACTTTATTGATGGTGTGCTGAATGGGGAGAAGTACCGAAATTTTTTAGATGACGTCTTACCAACTTTACTTGAAGATTTGACCAGGGAAGAAAGACAAAATATGTGACTGCAAAGTGATGGGTGTCCAGCACATTTTTTACATATTGCACAATTTCCTGGCCTGCCAATCACTTGATTTAACACTTCTTAATTTATTTTTGTGGTGTCCTTAAAAATAATATAATTGAAATATAATAATAATAATTGATGTGTATTTATAAATGGACGGTTTTTTTTTAATTGTCGGCTCTACCGGTTTCTATTGTTAAATTCAATCATCTTTAAGAGCTAGCCACCTAGTTTAATACAAATAAAAAACATTAACTAAAACTTACAACATTTAAAATTTCTATTATAGCTATTATAACATATCTTGTTTATTATTTTAGCTGTTATCTTCTTAATTCTGATTATTATTTATTTCTTCTTCTCTTTGTTACCTTGTTAATTTACTTAAAAATAATGTTGTAATTGTAAACAGCGGATAAGAAATGCATGCAGAAATAGTAGCCAAGAAAACCTTTTAAGATGTAAAGACAGTTTTAGTAGAAGGTTAATAAATGTATTGAAGTGGGTGGGGAAATATTTGAACATTTATTATAAATTTTATACTTGTTGATTAATAGTATAGTTAAATCACTTTTTATAAATAAATAATATTTAAAACTATTTGAATAAAAAAAGTGTTTAGATTTTGTCTACAAAAGATGTTTCGCCGTCCTACTGGCAAAAGCACACGGTATTTTTTTATTAATATTTTACATTTATCCATAGATTTGGATTTTGCAATCAAAAACATAGGGTGCCATTTAAAAAATTGGTCGTGACCTTCATATGACCTTGAAAATAAGGTCAAGGTTAAAAAATGTTATCGTAATATGGTTTCCCCCTTTGCACAGAACAACTTTCATTTGGTTTATTTTTATGTTAAATGGACCATGCTGAATATTTCAATGTTTAAATTTTTTTTTTCTTTTTAGACGTAAAAAGAAGAAAGGTGGATAATTCATCATCGAAGGTTAGTATCGGAGTCAGATAGCAACGGTACAGATTGCAGGGTTCACAAATACAAAAATTCAATCCACCGAGAGAGCTTTGAGTGCGCCACGCGACTTGGGAGATTGGGCTGAAAAATGAATGTCTGAAAACTTGAAAAAGCTTAACATAAAAAATAGCGTATATGTACATATAAAAATTAAAACACACAAACAAACGGGATGTTTCGAATGCGAATCAAAGGACCACTATCGTTTTATCATATATATGTCAAATAATCGTCCGATACTCGTTGTAAAAAAAGAAAAAAGTTGTGCTTCTTTGTTTGGTTAACGCGCCTTGCCTTCATCTTCGAATATGATTTCCCCATGAATTGCTACGATTATGAAGAACGTTTTTGTGCTGCTTAGAGTTCTCTTAACTTTGAAGATTATGTATTTATGGATTTTTATGAATGTTAACTGATTTTTCGGTTGAAATGTTTTAAATCAAAAATGATACCTTCCCCCAGAATATGAGAGTTTAATTTTTGATATGAAGAAAAATGATTTTAAAACGAGGAAGAAATATTTTAATTTAATAGGAAGAAGGATAAATTATTTATTTTGGATTGAACGAATGAAAACGTGAAGAAAAAGAAGAGATTATTGTGCTCGAAGATTTTTTAATAAAATAATTTAGTGTTTAAAAAAATATCTTAAATCATAAGTGTTCGCCATGAACTGTCTCTGTCGTCTCCCTCGATATCTCCATGGTGTTGCCAATTGTACTCAGCCCAATCTTCCATCACATGGTTTTACGGTTTTGTTCTTTTGAGAGCCAGTATTGCTTTGGTAAGTATTTTTATCCAATTTTGATATTAAAAAAATCAAAACCCAAGAAGATAACCCTCTAAATTTAAAGGTAAATATCAAAAAGAAAACAACAACAAATAAACCAAAACAATCTTTAATTTATTTATTTATAAATTGTTGTCATCTTAACGAATTTCTTATCATCACTGAAGAAAATCTGAAAAAGTCTGGTGTATTAAAATGGGGGCTCACAACGGACATTCAGCACTCTCACTCTCTCGTGGCCCCCGGCGGTTCGCGGTTCGTGGTTCGTCCAGTTGTGGCGTTCTGACAAACTGCACTCCCGGGACCACGTCACCTAACGTATCCTCCTTATGTGGTTGTCTGCAGAGTTACAACAAGCACGAAGAACGCAAAATCCAGCTCCAACAGCAACAGCTGCAGCAACAACAGCAACAGGCCTCCACCATTCAACTTGATTACACCATTGAGAAATCGGATAAAAAGGAACGTTCATCCAGATCAAAGGATAAAAAGGATAAAGTCAGTGAGGAGGAGAAAGAATTAAGGAAAGAGAGGAAGTTGGTTCGAAAAAGAGTAAGTTAACTATCGATTTTAGTGCCTCTCCCGCAAACGATTTCGGCGATTTTAAATAATATCGTTCATTTAATGTCTTGTAAAGTGAACAACACTTGAATGAGCAATCGTTTATCCACACTTCGCCGAGGTCGCTTGCGGGCGAGGCGCTGGTTATGTAATTATATCAACAAAGCTGGTATAAAACATAAGTTCTAGCCCTTCGCCTGCAGACGACCTTGGCGAGGTTAGCTGATATCATTCATTTAATGTCTTGGAAAGTGAGCAACATTTGAATGAGAAATCGTTTATCCTTACTTCGCCGAGGTCGCTTGCGGGCGAGGCGCTGGTTATGTAATTACAAAGCTGGTGTAAAACTTAGGTTCAGACCTCGGCTCTGTTAAATGATACCGTTTATTTGATGTCTTGGAAAGTGAACAACACTTGAATGAGAAATCGTTTATCCTCACTTCGCCGAGGTCGCTTGCGGGCGAGGCGCTGGTTATGTAATTATATCAACAAAGCTGGTATAAAACATAAGTTCTAGCCCTTCGCCTGCAGACGACCTTGGCGAGGTTAGCTGATATCATTCATTTAATGTCTTGGAAAGTGAGCAACATTTAAATAAGAAATCGTTTATCCTTACTTCGCCGAGATCGCTTGCGGGCGAGGCACTGGTTATGTAATTACAAAGCTGGTGTAAAACTTAGGTTCAGACCTCGGCTCTGTTAAATGATACCGTTTATTTGATGTCTTGGAAAGTGAACAACACTTGAATGAGAAATCGTTTATCCTCACTTCGCCGAGGTCGCTTGCGGGCGAGGCGCTGGTTATGTATTTATATCAACAAAGCTAGTATAAAACATAGTTTCTAGCGCCTCGCCCGCAAGCGACCTCGGCGAAGTTAGCTGATATCGTTCATTTGATGTCTTGGAAAGCAAATAAGACTTGAATAAAAAATCGTTTTCCCTCACATCGCCGAGGTAGCTTGCGGGCGAGGCGCTGGTTATGTATTTATATCAACAAAGCTAGTATAAAACATAGTTTCTAGCGCCTCGCCCGCAAGCGACCTCGGCGAAGTTAGCTGATATCGTTCATTTGATGTCTTGGAAAGCAAATAAGACTTGAATAAAAAATCGTTTTCCCTCACATCGCCGAGGTAGCTTGCGGGCGAGGCGCTGGTTATGTATTTATATCAACAAAGCTAGTATAAAGCATAGTTTCTAGCGCCTCGCCCGCAAGCGACCTCGGCGAAGTTAGCTGATATCGTTCATTTGATATCTTAGAAAATAAACAACACTTGAAAAAGAAATCGTTTATCCACACTTCGCCGAGGTCGCTTGCGGGCGAGGCGCTGGTTATTTAATTATATAATAATTATATCAAAGCTGGTATAAAACAGTTTCTTGCGCCTCACCCACAAGCGATCTCTACAATGTTAGATGATATCGTTCTTTTGATATCGTAGAAAGTGAATTAAACGTACAATATTTAAAAGAGAAATCGTTATACTACATATAACATTCTTCAAGTACACAATACACATTTTTTTTTGTTTATTTTTATTATATTTTTTATGATTTTGATTAACTTTGATTTATTTTGGAAGGATCGTGCTGAAGAAGCGATGATTCAAGCGGAGATGAAACGAAGAAGAGATGATGAGAAGAATAAAATATCTCATCAAAATGGAGATTTAATGGAATCTCCTCATAACACAAGGGAAAAACATCATCATTCAAGGGTTAGATATAGATTTCTTTTAATTTATTTTTAATAATATTTTATTCTTTAGGAAAAATCTCCATATAATACAAGAGAACGATCTCATGACAGAGTCGAATTACGAGAAAAACAATATCCTTTTTTACGGTGTTACAAAAATAATTAGAATTTTTTATTTTTGTGATTGTTTCCTTAATTAATTTTTACTAGTAGACGTCCTGTGGAAAGTAAAAGAAGATGATTGATGCTGCGTTAGAATAAAATTTTTTTTTTTCGTGTCTGGTTCCAATGAACTGTTTAGTGGTTAGGTTTTATAATAAGCATTAAGTAGTTTTTTGAATGTACAAGTAGATGTTTCTATCAGCAAATATTATGATTATTACATGTTTTTTCGATTTTATTTTGACTTCATAATCAAGAATTTTTTGTCCTATATTTTTTTTTGAACATACACTTACGGAAATTTGTTAGAAATATATTTGTAAAAGATATAATCTTTTTTTATAACCCTTTTCCAAAATAATCTCTATTCCTTCAGTTGAGCAAAAAAAAAACTGAGTATATTTAGGCACTTTATTCCTTAAGTACAAATATAAAGTATAAATATATCTATAATCATTATAAACTCAATATATTTTTCTTTATTCTATTTATATAATTTTGCAGAATCATGACTAGTTTTCTTTTTAAATATGGTATTAAATAAATATCTGTTTCTTTTTTTTAAGTACACTTATAGAATACTTTTGTATGAAAATACAAATTTTCTAAGAACTACCTTAACATAAACAAACATTTTAAAAACAAGTTCACATATTCACCTAAATAAAATGTATATTAAAATATGACAAAATCAAGATTGTAAATACAACTAATATATTATGAAAATTAAAAATAATAAACCATTATATGACTATAAATAAATCACATAAAATTAAGTAAACCATTGCAACACTTATTTCTTCTCATTTAAATGCTTTATTAAATATTTGAAGATTTTTTTTGTAAATACGACTTTGGTAAAAATACTAGTTTTTTTGAGCAAAACATTTTTATGTACACAGCAACTCATTGCTTTGGCGCAACAATTTGGTTCCATACGTTTTCCGCTTTATATTACACTTTTCCTGTTTCCTTGACTTCATTTTCATCGGATTCAAACCAGGGATATCTGACATTTTGGCGTGTTTATGATATTTCATATGGCTTCTTAATAAACTACCTTTCATACAACTGTAACCACAAAACTTACACTGAAATTTGGAAGAAATTGAATCGGAATCATCATCATCGTCATCATCCGATTTTACACCATCTTCACCTTCCCCATTTTGAAAATTATCATTCATTGTAACTTCGCAAAACTTTAACGGATTAAAACCGTCGGTTTCCTTCGGTTTCGTTTGATCCCCATCCTGTAATTGCTTATAAACACTTATTGGGTACAAATCAGGAACGTTTTGTTTTTTGTTTAACTTCTCCTCATGCTTTAAATTGTTCAATATGTCCGTGGAAACATGTTGGGCAAAATGTTTTAATAACTCCGAAGCACTTCCGAAGTTTTCTCTACAATCTACGCATAAAAAATCTAGAAAAAAATCGCTTTATTTCAGTATTTTACGAGAAATTTCTTTGTTTACCATTTGACGATTGCATTGTAGGTTAGGTGAACTCATTTTTGACGTTTAATCATTTGACAGCTTAATGTCAAAAGTGGTAAAAGGTGAATTTTGTGGTTAATTTATATATTCAAAAAAGTATTGATTTTCATTACGTTTTGTTTATTTTTAATGAAAAGTTAGTGAGTTTGAAGAAATTGTTGTGATTGGTAACTATTTTTTTTTTGTATTAATTAATTTTTAATGGTTAATTACTAAAGGATGAAATGGAGGAATTTATTAGGTATTTAATTGTTGTTGGATAAAATGATTACAAACGATTTGTTAAAAAAAATTGTTTATTTTAATTCAATATTAATTATAAAAAAAATGTGTAAAATTTGTCAAACGTCAAATATAAAAAAAAAACTATCTACCAACTTAAAGACAACTATAACAATTGTTTATATAAAAAAAAACACAAATAAGTTCTACCACAACCAAACAAACAAAATCATTTGAAACTCAACAATCCCTAAAACCTAAAAAAGTTTGTTATTGAATCTATAATTATCAAAATTTTAAAAACATTTTCAAATCTTTAAGTTACTAATAATTTTTCTTTTCTTTTGAAAATCAGTCATCGGCCATCTTGATTTTGGTTACTGGTTCAGTCGACAAAATGGTGGTCAAATTCAACATGGCGACAAATCGGAAAAACGATCAGACGTTTGTGTGTTAAGAATCCGAAATAAAAACCTGTTTAACACAAATTTCCACTAGGTAAGGCCCAAATAAACCCATTTCCCACCTAATTAATCAGTTTTTTAATCAATTAATCTGAATGCAGTTGTTTAGCAAAACCGAATAAGAAAAATCCTAGTTGGACGTGCACGAGTTGATGTGATCGCGTATAAACATCGACGGCAGGTAACCTGCGAAGACGCCGGTTGTGAAACGAAATAACCCTTTCCCAAACGAGTAAGTAACCATATATGTTCTATTTTATAACCCTTTGTTATATTTTGGTTCCATTTTATTAAATTAAAGTCGCCTTGTTAATAAAATCGGTTCGTTTGAGGGTTTTTTGTTATCGAATACTTTTCACTGGTAAACTTGCTGCGCGCGCATCGATTCTATTCAATCCAAAAAACATTCAATAATCACCAATTTATCACTAAAATATCTTTTTTAAACATTTATTGATCGTTGCGTAATATTTACAATTTAATTACGGTTTTCGTTTAAAAATAAATTTAAAAACAAGAAATAATTCAAACGCATTTTAATTTTATGGGTTTATTTATGAACTAAAGATGGCGGGAATTTCAAAATTTTGACAATTAAAAAAAATTTCATTTTTTTTTTGGTTGATTTTACGTTTTAACTCGAATAAGTTGGTTATTTTATCAATTTAAATTAAATCTGTTTTAATTTGTTGTGTTTTTAAGGTAAAATGTATTAATATTAACCAAAAAAAAATTACTTAAATAATTAGGTAATAAATTGTTGTAATTAAGAAATAATCATTTAATTCGTATTGAAAAAGCTCAAAAAAACGGAACTAAACTACAACTAGCTTTTTTATTATGTTTTATGAAACTTTTTGTCGTTGGTGTGAATCCTAACCTCACTTTTGGAGCTTTGTTTTTTTCTCCTCTCAAATAATGAATCTAAGCTTTGTTTTAAAACTTAATGAATTAAAATGATGATGTAGAAGTATTTTGAAACGTATATTTTTGGTTTAATGGAATTTAAGGATAAAAAAGAGTTAAGAGATGGTAAACTCTCCGATTATAGTTGAAATTGAGCTAATACAATAAGGTGGTTCCTCCATGCGATGCATTTCCTATATGCAGGGGTAAAATGAGTTATTAAGAAGATCTTGGAGGAAATGAACCACTTTTGCTACCCAATATAGGATCAGACTCTGTGTTCCGATGGTTAACATATACTTTTTTAAGCTTTATAATATATAAATTAGTCATAAGAATAAAGCAATTATACATACTTTATGTAATTGCTTGGAAGGTTATATGGAAGAGTCCTGAAATTAGGAAAGAAAGGAAAATTAAGGAGGAAGAGGAACAAAGTAGTTTCAGACCTGGAAGATCTTGGGGCAACACTAATTTTACAGCATGGGGTTTATTAGTCAATTTTAGGTCATTTTGGTCTCCTGAATACGAAAATAATAATCTTTTTGTTGAATTGACTCTACTTTTTAAGATAGAGGCAATCCATTTATACAAAAAATAATAAAATTAATCATAAAAAACAAAAACATGTCAATAACACTTAAAAAAACGTTTTGTATAGGAATTTTTTATGGTGTTTTTGATCCAGAAAGTCTCCTTGCAACTTCCAGCAGGATTTTGCCATCTTATGGCGATCCGAACGGCCTTGATATCTTTCCTTCATAATCTTGATGTCCTGGTGGAATCGTTTCCGTTGTTCTTTGCTATAATCACCGCAAATAATGCTATTTGACACTCATATTAGCTTCTAATTTGTGGATATTCTGTCTACACCTTCGAAATAACCTTCAGCTTCATGATGCCACACACAAAATTTTTGATACAAAGCTTGTCCATCCTTCCAATTCAACTTAAGTAAGTTTATAAGAGTACGGATTTGGGGCCCATCAAAAATTCCTCCTTTTACCTATTCTGTACTGGGACCAGGAAATAAATGACAAATATACAGGGTGTTAATACTTAAGTTTATCGTATTATATCTTAAGAAGGAAAAGAATGCAACATTGTGTTATAAGAATTTTTTATTCAGAAAGAGGAGACCTATAACCCCTCAAATTTTTTCTACTCATACCTGATACACCCTGTATTTGAAGCAATCGCCATTCCTATCTAAAGCTTTAACAAACTGTTCTATTACCCCAAGTTTTATATGTAGTGGAGGAAGAATGATTTTTTCTCGACTCATTAGTGGTAAATAAATAGTTCATTAAACCGTTCTTTTTGGAAATCTAGAGCTTCGGCTTAGAATACATAATCAATTCTTTGGCATATAAACAACCAATATGATATTAAGATAAGGATATTTAATATCATTGAGAATGATATGGGATTTATTAAACCGTTCTTTTTCTAAATCTAGAGCCTCGGCCGCAAACGACCTCGGCTCATAATACATAATCAATGCGTTGGCATATAAGCAACCAGTAATGTAGTAAGATAATGGTTTTATATCATTAGGGATGATATAGAATTGATTAAAGAGTTTTTTTTTCTGAATCTAGAGCCTCGGCCGCAAGCGATCTCGGCTTATAAGAACATATCAATGCTTTGGCATATAAGCAATCAATATGANATACAAAAAATAATAAAATTAATCATAAAAAACAAAAACATGTCAATAACACTTAAAAAAACGTTTTGTATAGGAATTTTTTATGGTGTTTTTGATCCAGAAAGTCTCCTTGCAACTTCCAGCAGGATTTTGCCATCATATGGCGATCCGAACAACCTTGGTATTTTTCCTCCATAACCTTGATGTCCTGGTGGAATCGTTCCGGTTGTTCTTTGCTATAATCACTGCAAATAATGCTATTTGACACTCATATTAGCTTCTAATTTGTGGAAATTCTGTCTACACCTTCGAAATAATCTTCAGCTTCATGATCCCACAAAAAATTTTTTGATACAAAGCTTGTCCATCCTTCCAATTCAACTTAAGTCATGTGGTGTGAAATTATCGTTGTTTATAAGAGTGCGGATTTGGGGCCCATCAAGAATTCCTCCTTTTACCTATTCTATACTGTTACCAGGAAATAAATGACAAATATACAGGGTGTTAATACTTAACTTTATCGTATTATATCTTAAGAAGGAAAAGAATGCGACATTGTGTTATAAGAATTTTTTATTCAGAAGGAGGAGACCTATGACCCCTCACATTTTTTCTACTCATACCTGATACATCCTGTATTTGAAGCAATCGCCATTCCTATCTAAAGCTTTAACAAACTGTTTTATTAGCCCAAGTTCTATATGTAGTGGCGGAAGAATGATTTTTTCTCAACTCATTAGTGATAAATAAATAGTTCATTAAACCGTTCTTTTTGGAAATCTAGAGCTTCGGCTTAGAATACATAATCAATGCTTTGGCATATAAACAACCAATATGGTATTAAGATAACTATATTTAATATCATTGAGAATGATATGGGATTTATTAAATCGTTCTTTTTGTAAATCTAGAGCCTCGGCCTCAAACGACCTTGGCTCATAATACATAATCAATGCTTTGGCATATAAACAACCAATACGGTATTAAGATAACGATATTTAATATCATTGAGAATGATATGGGATTTATTAAACCGTTCTTTTCGTAAATCTAGAGCCTCGGCCGCAAACGACCTCCGCTCATAATACATAATCAATGCTTTGGCATATAAACAACCAATATGATATTAAGATAACGGTATTTAATATCATTGGGAATGATATAGGATTTATTAAACCGTTCTTTTTGTAAATCTAGGCCTCGGCCGCAAACGACCTCGGCTCATAATACATAATCAATGCGTTGGCATATAAGCAACCAGTAATGTAGTAAGATAATGGTTTTATATCATTCAGGATGATATAGAATTGATTAAAGAGTTTTTTTTTCTGAATCTAGAGCCTCGGCCGCAAGCGATCTCGGCTTATAAGAACATATCAATGCTTTGGCATATAAGCAATCAATATGATAGTAAGATAATGATATTTAATATCATTAGGGATGATATGGGGTTCATTAAACCGTTCTTTTTGAAAATCCAAAGCCTCGGCCGCAAGCGACCTCGGCTTATGTATAATAGATTTTCGATACTTGGCATATAAACAATCAGTAACGTAGTAAGTTAATATCATTAGGGATGATATAGAGTTGATTAAACAATTCTTTTTGTGAATCTAGAGCCTCGGCCGCAAGCGACCTCGGCTTATAACAAAATACTAATGCTTTGGCATATAAGCAACCAATACGGTAGCAATATAATGATATTTAATATCATTAGGGATGATATTTTATGATATAGGATTCATTACACCGTTCTTTTTGAAAATCCAAACCCTCAGCCCCAAGCTACCTCGGTTTATAACAGATTTGATCGATACTTGGCATATAAACAACCAGTAACGTAGTAAGATAATGGTATTATATCATTAGGGATGATATAGAGTTGATTAAAGAGTTTTTTTTGTGAATCTGGGGCCTCGGCCGCAACCAATCTCGACTTATAAGAAGATACCAATGCTTTGGCATATAAGCAACCAATACGGTAGCAATATATTGATATTTAATATCATTAGGGATGATATGAGGTTCATTACACCGTTCTTTTTGAAAATCCAGACCTTCGTCCGCAAGCGACCTCAGCTTATAACAGATTTTCGATATTTGGCATATAAACAATCAGTAACGTAGTAAAATAATGAGATTATATCTCTAAATAAATAGAATAAATCGTATTATAAATAGTTTATAGGCAAGGCTGTTTTGATATATTTAATAGTATTTTAAGAAAATACCTAATTTGTAACACATTTTAATAAATAAAATTTTTTTTTAGTATAAAAATGGATCATATTCAACAATTATTACTTCAAACTGGATGGAGTTGTGAAGATCTCATCTCAAAACTCAATGAATTTAAGCAAAAAAATGAACTTGAAGCTAAACAAGTTGTGAATTCTAATGGAATAAGTCATAATGAAGACTCTGCAGATATAATTAAAGATTGTGATGTGGCAGAACCAAAGAAAAATGATGAATGTGAAGAGAAAATGGATGTAGACGATCATGAAGAGAAAAAAGGTGATCTTGAAAATAAAGAGGATGTTAAAACCAATGGAATAAATCACAACGAAGATGAATCTAAAGAAGATTATTCAAAATCTGAAAAATCGAATGGTTTCGATGAAAAAATGGAGTTAGACAATGATATTATCAGTAAAACTGATGATAAATGTGAAAAAAATAATGAAAACTTATTTGAGACACAAAAAGAATTAGATAATACAATTCCAAAAAGTAGTAAAATGGATTTTGTACCCCACAAAATTTGTAGTGAACTTTTTGATCATACATATACATTAAATAATAAAGCCGATTGGACCGAGAAAGATTATCCAAAAAAATCATATAAATTTAAAACGATTTCGAAATCTCGACGATTAAATTTCTTACAAAAATCGAGGAAATTCCGAAAACAAATTCTCAAACAAAAAAAGATTGATAGAAAATTTTTAATTGCTCAATATAAAAGTCCCGAAACGGTTCGATCACAAATTATGGAACAACTCCAATTATTAAGATCGAGAAGATCCGAATATTCAATTACGGTGAAACCATCCAAAGATAAAATTGTAAGCAAAAAGCGTTATACTGGCGAAAAATGGTCAACAATCATCAACGAATTGATGCAATTAGCAGAAGATCAAAACGTGGAAATCGAATCGAACGATATTTTACAAAATCGATGTGATATTATGATGGAAAATAATTTTGATAAAAAATCCGATTCTAATTTAGAGAGTAAAAGTAATTCAGCAAAAAGTATCACAGAAACTTTAAAGAATCGAATTGGAAATTTGAATAATGAACCACTCCCTAGTACAAGTTCTTCATTCATTAAATCAGAAGATGATAAAGTAATGGATGAAACTGAGGAGAAACCGAGTGGGTTAAAAAATATTATGATTGTTGACGTTCGTGGAGGCTGTGAAATCATTCCAGATAATAATAAACTCGAAGATGAAATAATGGAGGATAAACAATATATGATCAAACCAACAAAAACGAATGATATTACAAAAATAAAGGGGTGGAAAAATAAAATGTTTTCTGTCTCAAATCAAAACAAATTAAAATTAAATAATTCAAATTCATCAGAAGCGGCATTTTCGAGTAGTAATTTAGATGGTTTCCTTGAAGAAGCTGATCTCCATATAAGCTTTAAAATCCCAACTTTAGAATCAGGAGTTTCACCTGTAAAAGAAATTAAGAAAACTGAAATCGTCCCAGCGCAAACATCGCCAAAAGAACCCGACAAGGATTTATTAAATTTGTTCCACCCAAGAACTTTAGGACAGAAAAAACGCATTTTGACTTTAAAACCTGATGGGAAATTGAAAAAGAATGCGCAAAAACCGAGAACTTTAGCGGAAAAACGGAGATTAATGGGAAACGAGAGTTTGAGCAAAGTTTTTAAAGATATTAAATTACTTAGAGCGGATTCGAAACATTTTAACTCATCGTTCGTTTTATACCGCGGTAAAAAATTAAAAGTGGTTACAAAAAACCAAAACGATATAATTGCTTATATTAAATCGATTAATAAGCCTTTATGTTCGACTTTTGCGCCTAAGAAAATGAAAATTATCAAAACAAAACCTTCCATTTTTAATAACATTTATTCGCCGACTTCGACAGTTTTACGTTATCGACCTGGACCTCTTTGTAAAAAAGCCGACCTTCAATATAATAACCAAAATTGGAAAACAACGTTAAAAAGATTACCCAAAATTAAATTATTAGTAGTTCCTGAGTTTAAAAAACCAATTCATCCTTACGTTGAATTTTTAATGCCTAAATATGACTTCGAAATCACCTCAGATCGTTTAGAATTCGCTTTAACAGCTTTACCACCGAAAAGCAAAGAAATTACCTGTTTCGATTTTAACGTTCCATATCAAAATAATCAACAAGAAATTTTATTACGCGAGAAAAACACCGATAGATCAATTTTAAATAAAGAAGAGCCAAGCAAAATCGTCGAACATGAAGAAATCGATAATATTTGTAGAGATGTTATGGATAAAATGATAAATTATGTTGAAATTAAAGAAAGTGCAGATGATGTTGTTAAAAACGATATAAATACGATATTTTTAGAAGAAGATAAAAAGATTGAAAGTCAAAACGACAAACGTATGAAAAAACATCAAAGAAAATCAAATAAAACCAGTAATGAATTAAAACGATTAAGCGTAAAAGTAATTGAAGTCAATTTAGAAGAAAAAGAGGAAATTAAAAATTGTCAAAAAGATTTTTGCCGGCTCGGTTGCGTTTGTAGGAGTCTTTCGACGAATTCTTCGTTGGTTTTAACACATTGTGGTCGCGTTGAGTGTATGTTTAGATGTAATTGTAACTATGATCAATCTTCAAAAGGTAATATTAGAGTAACATTACCAACAGGAGTTGATTTATTATCGGAAGGAGCCGTTAATCGACTTGAAAACGTCGCGAAAAGAAATTTAGCCAAAGTTGAGAAAGAATTTACACAAACTGTTATACAAGCTAACAACCAAACGATCGTTGTTGGTGGTTGTTCAAATCGACATCGAAGAGTTTCTAAATTACCAAGAAAATATGATGAGGAACAAAACGATTATTTCGTTGAAAATTCCGAAAGTTACGTAGATCTCGAATTGAGGCACTATCAATTAAAAAATTCGCAAGTTAGTTTAACTAAGATTAATTTAGATGATATTGTTCCTTATTGCTTAACACATAAAATTTATGATTGTCAATGTAAATGTATGGCGGATTATATTCCAAGTGAAGAATCCGATTTTGAAATGCCCTCTGACGACGATGAATACTTCCCTGATGAGGCATCTTATAATAAAATAATGGATATTTCAAAGAAAATACAATTTCCATCAATTTCTGACAGTTGTTCCAGAGTTAAAGGCATCCCAACTGATTATTACTTAATCAGAAACCGAACTAAAACATTCATCAAAATGAGAAATCGCAAATTTGTGCGAAATATGAACAGATTTTGGCTCAAACATGATATGGACGTTGATCCTGAGGGAAGACCGCGCACTCCGGAACAACCACCAATAGCACCCACACCAACAAACGAATTTATTAAAGTTACATCAGAAAAGAGTCGAAGAAAACAAGAATTGGTTGTTCGAGGTGATGGTGACGTCGCTATTATTTTACCACAACATGACGTCGCAACTAAACCTAAGAAATTAAGACCGATTAAACCCAAACTTCCGCCACCTACATTACCAAACACATTCACAACGAAAGATGTTTTTATGAAATATAAATTAAAAGAAAACCCTTTATTTAAAGACGCGATAAATCCCGAAAAAATTCATGAAATAAAGCAGTTAGAAACCACCTTAAAATCTTCTTCTAAACAATTCGAAGAAAATTCGAACCAAATCACGCAAAGTATAAGATTATTTACGGAAAATTTAAAGCAAGTTGAGGAAGCTTCGAATTCCGTTAAAGAAGATTTAAAAAAAGTCGACGAAAATATAAGATTAATCCAAGAAGATTCAAAAGCGATGAAAAGATTTAAAATGATTTTTCCTTTAATCCGAGAAAACTCGCATTATTTCCATCCATCACCCGACATTGCAGACCGATTTACGAATATGTTAGGAAAAAAGGATGATACAACCTTTATTTTATTGCAATGGAAAACATTAGCTTATTACTATCAATTAGGCAAAGTTAATGTGTGGTTCTCTTCTTATTACAACTCCCCAAAAATTATAATAACAGATTTATTTATACAACCAAAACATTTTACGAACGTTAAGAATTTCGAGAGATCTCACAATAAATTTTTATTAAAAAATGAAATTATTAGGGCTTTAATAACCGGAAATATCCCCGGAAATAATCCAAACGACGATATTCAAGTTATTTTAGAATTAAGCGAAATGTTGTGTTACGTTCATGGAACATTCAAAAAGAACCATAATAAAGATAAAAATGGCTCTCAAAAAAAGAATTCGAAAAAAGATAAAGATAAAGAAAAGAAAGTTACAACAAATTTGCTTCAAGAAAATAAATCGAACAAAGATTTATCGCAAGATACAATAATATTACAAGAAAATCATTGCGATGAACCAATCATTTTAAACACACCAATTAATTCAGCGACAAATACAGAATCGATTTCAATAACAACAATTACAAACTCAACTACTTTAACGTCAAAATCAGTTATTTCAGCAAATTCTGTAAAGTCATCAATCACCGTTTCTAAAACATCAACAATTCAAAACGATTCTGTATTTGAAAATATTGAAATTAATGAGGTTGAACCAGAAAAAGAAAAAGTACCCATCTTTAATTACCCAACGGTTCGAAAAATAATGTATTCAAAATATAAATGCCAACAATATAATTATGTATCAATCGACAAAGATATTGAAAATATACCTCCTTGTACGATTCGAGCGCGTTTACCCTTAATTAAAAAATCTGCGTTATGGAGGATGATTAAATTGAATTCAGACTTTTCGGTTTTATCCCTAGATAAAAGTGATTATCGTATCAAATATTCCGATTTACAAAAAGTGTTAAAAATGTCCGATGACAAACAGATGACGATTGCTATAAGAACGGAACAAACTTCTACTAATCCTCGAACTCACAAAGATTTTGGGATTTATGCTTCCCCGATTTCATCGAATTGCGTTTTTATTGGACCATATCTTCAAACTGAACATCACGACGTTGTTTTAATGCGATATTTAAATCGCGAATTAATCACGACGGAAAGATTTAATAGCATGAAAGGGTTACCGCACACGAATTCCGGGGTTTGGTTACAACAAAAAAGAGATTTCGCCGAACGAAATGTGCATACAATTGATTTAACTGAAAGCGATCATGAAGGTGGCAACAAAAGTGATGATGATGACGACGAGGAAGATGAAAATAGACCGATTCTAACGACTAGAGATTTGGAAATTTTTGAAAACGACGCTGCTAATTTTCATTACAATTTTCAAACTTACATTGAAATTGATATTACGAAAATGAATTTCCAGAATATGAGCGTTTTATATTTTTATACTAACGTAAAAGGTTTGGGTTATTTTATGGGAAATCAGGTTGGAAAAGATACTGTTATTTTGAAGTATCCAGATTCGGGAAGAGCGTTGCAGTTTAAAAATAAAACGAACGCTATTGATTTCCTTGAAAAAGAATTGTCTTCGTCGTTTATAGAAGCGGCTGGATTTAAAATTAAGGTGACTGCTTTTGGGCCAGGAAAGAAAACGACGAATATCTTCAATAAAAATCTATTAAACGGATATTATGTGAGTCTTATTTATTTTGAGTGAGATTGATAGAATTATATGTTTGTATTTTTTTTAGGTTGTAAATGAAGCAGGTTTTACAAACGTCTTAGAGATCACTCCAGCGAAATTAAGGGAGCTCAATATGACCGAAACAAAATTCTGTAGGGGGGTATCTCATAGGGCTGCAAGAATGGTTTATGATCAAAGTTTAGAGGCTTCAAAACATTGTACAGGAGCACCTTTTGTACATACAAGAAAATCGACCGTGGCTTTACTAAAATGGGTAAGTTATATTTATTTGAAATTAAAAATAAATTGTTATACATTCTTTTAATTAAATTTGTTATAAAAGTTAATTGAGGAAGTTGAAGAACTAAAAGCTGAAAGTGATCGCCAAAGCGTACAACTAACAGTTTTCCACCAACAAAGACCAATGCTTGTAGAACATTTCAAAGAAGTTTATTTGGATTTAGCTCCAAAAGCCGACGTAAAACTAAAAGCAAAAATGGAGGAGCTTCTTATACTTAACGGAATCTCAATGGAGGAACCAACAAATTCCGCTGAAACTTCTTCGAAACAAAACGACGTAATCTGTATCGATATCGATCGATCGTCGTCTACATCGCCTAAAATAGATCAACAAGATCAAACAAAATTGCCGATTTACACCAAAAATCCTGATATGATAATAACAGCAACGACCACTAAAAAAGAAAAGAAAATTAATAATCCTGAAACAAAACTCCCCAAGGTTTCAGTGAAGGATATAAGTACCCTGAAGGAAAAGGTAGAAGAAAAAGTCGAAGTAAAAAAAAATGATGTAAATAAAAGCGAAGTAAACAAAAACGGTAAATCTAAAACTAATAAATCTAATAAAACTTATAAATATTTATTTAAGACTACGAAAGGAAAATTGATTGAAATTGCACCTGAACAATACGAAATTTTAAAGGCGAATAAAATGAAGTCGGCAACAACATCGAATTCTCAAGACAATACTTTTCAATTGGGGTCGTTAACTATAACACCAAAATTGTCTAAAGGCGGACTCGAACCGCTTATTTCCAATTTACCAGCGGCTGAATTAAAAAATATTGTAATCCCCGATAATCTCCCACCTGGATTTGTTAAATTAACCCTTAAAAATGTGCAAAAAGGGGCTGAAACCAAACCGAATACAGAAAATACTTAAAAAAAATGAAACATTAAAAAAAAATCCTAAGAGTATTAACTTTAATTTCATTGTGATCATGTATATATGGTAATATTAGTTAATAATATAAGAAATAAGCAATGTATATATTTGTACAAAAAAAATCTTTTCGTTTTTCGTTTTGATAAAGAGATTTTTATACACTTCTATTTCTATAGAATAATTTTAGTATTTTGCGTTAATCTTTGTTCACGCACTTCTTGTAAGGATAAAAAGACTTTAACATAAGTGTAAATGAATCAACGTTTTTTTTATGCATATTTATAGCGATTGTACATACTGTTAAATATACTTTCTTTTTTATAGTTTTAATCCTGGAAGAGAATAAAAGTTGATTTTGAGTTAAATGAGATTTTTCTAAAATCCATATCAAAAGTCCTATTTACTTTACAAAATATACTTACAAATAAAGCTGTGAAAATGGTTTTGATACATGAACATATTATGAACATAGCGAGTATATGATGATAAGATAAGATTCAACTACCAACGTTATGGAAAATAGCACATTTTTAATAAAGAAATTACTTCCCATGAAACTATGATTAATACAGAAAGAATATTTAAAAAACTCTTCCTACTAATAATAAATCCTTGTTCCACTTCCTAACAAAAATAGATGAGGATATAACTCACGTTGGTACATTTAGCAATTAAGTGGAGTTGCCTACACTATACCGCTGGTAAACAACTAACATTTGTTATTGATTCCAAGTAAAATACCACTTCTGGTTAACTATATGTTATATGTATCAAAATGTATGGTCCTGGAAGACCACAATTACTGCTAGAAAGAAAAACAAGAGCAGAGATACGAAGTCTATTGAAAACGAACAAAGGCTAATGCAAAGTTCGCCAAGGAGGAAGGAACAATTGCATAATTCGCAACATGAAGTAGATTTTGATTTTTGATGACGAAGTGTATTGCAAGAAAATGTACACGAATACAATTCAACCCAACCCAACCTATCCCATCTGAACCAAACTCAACTCAACACAACCCAGCCTAGTTCAACCCAACTACATCCAAGCCATCAGAAAATGCAATCTACAATTTGCTGTATTTTTCCAAAGAGTCAGAAGATTATCCCAGAGGAAAAATTGAAGTCTGGTAACATGAAGTAGATTTTGATTTCTGATGACGAAGTGTGTCGGAAGAAAATGTACACGAATACAACTCAACCCAACCCAACCTATCCCATCTGAACCCACCCCAGCCTAACTCAACCCAGCTACATCCATTCCATCAGAAAATACAATCTACAATTTGCTGTATTTTTCCAAAGAGTCAGAAGATTATGTAAGGGGAAAAATTGAAGAATGAAAAATAACTTTTAAAGGACATACTTCAAGGTCAAGTGACTGAAGATGGACAACATTGTGGAAAGATAGCAAACTACGTAACGTATCATCCATAATAAAGCTACTAATAAATTAATATCTAATTATATTGTGTATGGCCCTGGAAGACCACAATAACTAGTAGAAAAAAGAAGAGCAGAGATAGTCTGCAGAATACGAAGTCTATTAAAAACGAACAAAGGCAAATGCAGAGGTTGCCAAAGAGGAAGGAACAGGTGTATAATTCGCAGTCTGGTACCATGAAGCAGATTTTGCTAAAGAAGATCAAAGGTAGGTGTAGTCTGAATAGTGTTATTGCAAAATGAAACCTGTTCATAAATGTTGCACGTAACAAGTTCTGCAAAAATTAAGAACAAATGCAGAATGTAATGTCTTCAAATACAACAGACTTCCGATAATCCGGCATCATGTTCGGGACTTTACCGGTGCGTAAAATTAAAACCGAAGACGTTAAAAATTAGCCCTGTTTAGAGTGTTTAGACTGTGTCGCGCCACGGCGCGACGTCGTTTTTAAAGCTTCGTTATTATTTATTTTTAGATGAAAAGGGTGCCGTCTGGCCGATCGCCTGGTAGACATAAACACAATAGGTATGTTTTTTTTTCTAAATTTTATTGCTTACATTGTCTCATAGATCGATCGTTCTGTGTTCGAAAAATCCCACAACTTTTCCAGAACAGATTTTTCTAAATCTACTAGGCAATATAAAGATTCAAATGGAAAAATTAGCACAAGAGTTTATTGCAGTCTATCTTTATACGTTCTTTTTTGCAAAATAGAAAAACAGTAAACAGTAGTATATTCTTCTTAAAAAAATCGTTTTACTGTTTAAACAAATATGTATATATGATTTCTATTTCTTAATTCCTATTTTTTATCATATTCCTTTTTTTCCTTTTAGAGGGCCCACGACCTAAAAATGATAGGACATAGAGCAGTTACATTACCAAGATGACGTTTTGTTCTTCAACATTCGCTGGTTGAGGATTAAGAACACTTTATAAAGTAGCTTCATCCGTTAGTTCTTCCTCAGTTGGTTCGTTCTTATCAATATCTACCCATTCTGCAATTTCTTCTTCAGGTATATTTTCTAAATGATTATCTGGAGCTAAAGTCACTTCTTTTATTTGTGACCAAGAGAGTGTGCTAACATATATGGCATCGTTGATATTATATTTTTGTTGAAAGTCAGTGACGTCACAAGTATATAAAAACATTTAAAATTTTGAATAACCCTTTGATCTATAGGATGGATCGAGGAGGTAACATTTGGAGGCAAAAATGTTGCAAATATGTTGCCAGAAACAATCTGTGTTATTGGTGAATGAGCTTTTCAGATATCCCAAAGAAGGGCTTTGTTGTCTTCTTGCAGTTTAAGTTTTTTAAAGTTATTCTCAACCTGTGGGACAAAGTTTTGTAAAAACTAGTCTTTAAGTAATGCAGCCATCTAAGCAGTTTGTTGGGTATCGTAATGAACAGGCAAAGTTTCCAGACGCATTAGCACATAATAAAGCTATCAACCTTCGTTTTTCTTAAAACATTTAGCTGACTTTTCTTCTCCTCCAGCTAATCTTGAAGTTTTTAGACAATGCCAAAGTGGGGCTGTTTCATCGCCATTATACACTTGATCGGCTGTTAGTTCATTGTCTTTGATAATTTTGTCAATTTCTTCTTTATAGTTGTTATCAGATTTTTTTTTGCTGACTATAATTGATAACCGATTGATACATCACAATCAAATTTGAATATGTTACCTCTTATCCCTAATCTTAGTGTTTTCACTTTTAAACTGAATCACGATTCATCTAAATATTAGGTAAATTTAGGAACAAAATTTACAAATTACATCAAATTCCCAGTTTTTAATCGAACAATAAAAGATAGTGTGATAAAAATATTGAAAATTTATCTTAAAATCTATAATTACAGGTTTATTACGTTATAACCCTATGATTTGGAAGGCAATTAAAAAGAGATAAGGGCAAAATTGTCCCTTTAAAAAATATACGTCGTGTGAATATCGAATTAGTGCGGGTATTATTGGGTAAAGGGGTTGAAAATTCCAAAACTGTGACATATAATTTTCTCTCTATCGCGTTCAACATTATCCACACACGCACAGTTTTGTCAATGACGTTCATTCACACAGTGTATCCTCAACAAAAAAGTTTTGAACTAAAAAAAATTTGAACGATATCTCGTATTTGTAAAAGTAAAACACTACAGGGTATTGTCGTTTTGACCTTGCGTAATATCTTGTATTGGACAAACATAACCGAATAATTCTTAGATTGATGTGTCGTGAGAACACGATAAGGTAGTAAAATATTTATTGATGTTTTATTATTTATTTGTAAAAACTCTTTTTAAAAAATTTTTAGGAAAAAGATGTTCGCCAGAGAAGATGTTAGTTTTTAAACTTTGACCACGAGATATGCTGATCATAAATGGTGATTATAAAGAGCAGCAAAGTTTTGGACAAGGTTATGGAGTTATGGACAGTTTTATAACTCAACTGCGTGCTACTTTCGTGAAAATGCCAAATAATGAAGAGTATGTGGCTTCATATTAAAACAGAAATCTCAGCTTTTCTTTTGTTCATGTTTCTGTAAAATTATGTAAAACATTAATTTATAATCATCAAAAAGAAATAACCCATAATTATATTCTTAATCTTAAAGAATGCAATTTCAAAAAAAAAAAGGAGGAAAGAAGCTGGGTGTTGCGGCCAGGTGCAAAAGAATATAATTTTCAAAAAACGCATGCGTACAAGCTTCAAAACACATCCATAAACGTGACGCACACTCACCGTAACATAACCAATACATGCGTAGAAGTGAAGACAAGTTCGGTTCGTTTGAAAACGTTCGTTTCGAATTCATTCCGTACCGGTCTTCGGTTGGGTAAAGAAGTGTTCGGGTTTGGTCTCCTCAACACACGAAAAAGTTCTCGTTTTTAAGTGCGCGATCTTTTCTAATTTCTAACAATGGATATGGCATGTTTGGAAATTCCCGGAACTGTCCAAGGCGATAAGGATTTTACAATTCTCTCCGATCACCGTGTCATTAAAAATCTCCTAGAAGCCGAAAAAGCTTACATACCTTCAATGAATTACTTTATCATTCAAAGTGACATCAAACCTTTTATGAGAAAAGTTGTTACTCAATGGATGTTAGAGGTAATTTATTGAAACTTATTGATAAAACAAATCTTACTTTTAAATTTAAAAATTTTTTTCTTAGGTTTGCGAAGAACAAAAATGTGAAGATTCCGTTTTACCCTTGGCTGTCAACATCATGGATCGGTTCATGTGTGCTTGTGTTATTAAGCGGCAGGATTTTCAACTTTTGGGGGCAAGCTGTCTTTTGATCGCCTCCAAATTGAGATGTTGCAATCAATTGGGGGTCGATTTATTGTGTGCTTACACCGATAATAGTGTTACCGCAGAAAATATTCAGGTAAGTGTTAAATTTGAAATTTCACACCTAGTCTAAAGCTTAAGACAAGTTTTAACAAGTCCAAGGTCATTTTTGGCATATACAAAGTTTTCAGAAAATATTCAACCATAATAAAAAATATTGCAATATTCTCCGTTCTCTTTCTGAACCCTAATCATCGATGAACTCATTAAATTTAACTCAATAACCTTCATTTCCAATTTGAAAAGTTCTGACATCATTTAGACAATGTTGTTTTCTGCCCATAAACTTAATATGATATTTTAGGCTATTGTAGCAATCATAGTGCCTTGTATAAAAGAATGCCAGATATAGTATTTGCTATAATTGGACCACCATCATACATAGAGCTTAATTTAGTTCTCGACAATAACCAAAGATTTGAAACTCTTTTGACTGATTTGGTCAATCTTTGCTTTCTTATTGCCATTGTTACTTCAGTGAACATGGATGCAAGATTATACCTTAAAAATACCTTTTAATGGCTTCAATTGCTTCAAGAACCTCTCAATTACTCCCAATACCTATCAATGTTTACCAAAACTTCCTATTGTTTGGTGCATGTCCTGATTTTGACACTAGAGGCTAAACCATTGTCTCTGCCTCTGACTTTAAACTAGAAAAAGTAAGATTTTTGAGTAACTCAATTTCTTTTCAAAATTTGTAGCAAATGCAAAGACGTTGCAATAAATTTCGTTTCAAGTTTTTTAGAAGATCCGTGCCGTTCATATCGATTTTCTCAAATTCTCTTTGGGTACTTTCCATAACCTGACGATAAAGATTTTTTTGGTCAATTCAGATTTTAACAAAACATTCTTTGAGGTCTTTAATTTAAAACCGGTCGAGTTAAAATATTTTAATAAGATATTTATAATTATTGTCTTCCTCTATCTCCCCATTGAATTCATAATCGTGAAAATCTCTTACAATTTCCATTCTTTGAAAGGAAATAGGATGCAAGGTGAGTTAAGCACCCCTTTAACCACTACGACGTCTTCCCGAATTAAAGACGGCACGCGACCGTCGTCAAGTAATCGACTAATTATTGTCACGGAAATCTTAGTGGCCCCATTTTTATATCCGGTCGACATCGTGTCGTCGCGATCTTATCTGAATCGCATTTACAGACGAAATAAAATACGTATTTCTTAGAATTTTGTTTTATTGGTTATCAAAAAAAGTTGATATTTTTGCAGATGATTTTCTCACGATGTAGTGAGAAACGATTTTAACGGGTTTCTTACGCTTGATGAGGTAATAGAAAAAGGAGAAAAGGAATAGGGAAGTCACGGTTTTGTAGGTTTAACGACGACCATACGGCGAATTCGTGCAAAAAGTTATTATTATTTGTTGAATCCCCCTGACCCCGTTCTAAATAAGAAAAGATGAGACGGGAAAAGAAATGGGGTCTTCTGTTCCGGTTTCTTGTAGGGTCGGGATCTTTGTATTGTTGTATTATGACCCACCTTTCCGGAACTTAGGGTCCCATATCGGAATCTGGGAGCTAAAGATTTTAAATTATGTGAGAAAATTCTTAATTATATGTAATATTATAAAATTGAGGTGTTAAAGAATAATAATAAGTGTTTTTGAATGTGGGTTTGATTACAATAGGAAATAGAGAGAGTTAAGTGAGAGTTCGTAGAAAATATTCCCACAGACTTTTTCTGCAGCTTGCCTCAGGGTGTAAACTTCACCCTCCGTTCCTATTGTAACTGAGAAGAATACCGAAAAAAAGGCAACAAGGGTTTTCTATAATTTTTTCCCATACCCACATGTTTACTTGGACCGAAAAAATGTCACATGTACCTGTATTGGACATGCAAAAGTGGTTTTGCGACCGCAGCACCAATTAAAAACTCGTTATCGATGAGCCCCAAAACAAATATATACACCAACCAGTTGTTTAGATCCATTTCATAAATTGTTTGTAAGCATACTAATTTTTTTTTTATTTTCTTATCTCTTGCAGAGTTGGGAGTTGCTGATTTTGTCAAAATTGCAATGGGAGATGAGTGCTATAACGGGGTTCGATTACGTGGATCAAGTAATCGGGCGGTGCTCCTGGGGCAACGACAGCACCCTTCTCAGACGACATTCCAACACGTTGGTCTCCGTTTGCTATACGGGTAAGTTTCTTGGAATATCACCGATCGAATTATACCAGGAGGTGCAATTAGGTTTAATGAGATTGTATTTTACGCGCTCGCAATTTATGTCACATTCTTTTATTTTACAAGGTAATTATGCACGTCGCGTCGTCAACAATTAGTTCTCAAACTTAATTTTCGTACCTTATTTAGAGTTTTTTTACAATGGTAGATTTCGCTTTAGGAATTTTAATCTTTAACAGTGAACATTAAGAGTAAATTGCGTGTGATAGTAATTTTTGA